ATATACCAAGATCCAGGTCTATAGAGCCTGTGTCCTGAGCATGCTCCTGTACTGCAGTGAGTCCTGGACCCTTTGTGCACAGCAAGAGAGGAAGCTGAACACCTTCCATATCCGTTGTCTCCGACACATTTTTGGTATCACCTGGCAGGATAAAGTTCCAAATAGAGTAGTCCTAGAACGAGCTGGAATTTTTAGCATGTATACATTACTGAAACAGCGACGTCTATGTTGACTTGGACATCTTGTGAGAATGGCTAATGGTCAGTTTCCAAAAGATCTCCTATATGGAGAATGAGCACAGGGAAATCGACCCAGAGGGAGACCACAGCTGCAATACAAGGATATCTGCAAGCGCCTTAGGAATGGACCTCAGCAGATTGGAAACCTTGACATCTGAGTGTTCAGCCTGGAGGCAGGTGTTGCATCATGGCCTTTCCCTTTTTGAAGAGACACTTGTCCAGCAGGCCAAGCCAAAGAGGCAGTCCCGAAACCGGCAAAATCAGGGAGCTGGACAGGGGACAGATTGTATTTGTCCTCAGTGTGGAAGGGATTGCCACTCTCGAACTGGCCGCCTCAGCCACACTAGACACTGTTCCAAGTCCTCTATTCAGAGCGCATTACCATAGTCTCTCGAGACTGAAGGATGCCTAAGTAACTGATGCCTATTGGTTTCTACAGTTGCAAGGAACCAAGTAGCTTAGTATTCCCAAAACTGGACATAATGAATCTAGCACATGCTTAGCGAATCTGTTGAACCTTTCTTGAAAGCTTGCAAAAAAGGAAGTTGACTTAACTGGATAATCTAAATGTCTTAGACACCTTGTAATTACACTGGAACTCAGAAACATTACTCTTGGGGAGTACAGTTCCCAGAATTCCCTACTAACCAGTGGCCATACTGGATGGGGAATTCTGGGTGTTGTAGTCTCAAAAAGTAACTTTTCCCAGTCTGTCTGTCTGAAGTCTCTTAAAATATTGACAACATTATTTGCTGTGTCAACAGATCGGTCCAGAGAAAGGAGTGGTGCATTTGGCGACAGCTGCTGTTTTGAATGCTATTTGGGATCTGTGGGCCAAAAAAGAAGGAAAGGTAATAGATGGCTTGGGAACAGGCAGGGATGGAGAACATGGTGCACTCCAGTTATTGCTGGACTGCTGTTGCTGGCCTCCCTAACCATTGTCTGGGTTGGCAAGGGCAGGTGGAGGTTGGAGTCCTACAGTATTTGAAGGGCCACTTGCCCAGCTTGGTCTACAGCAATTTTAGACCCATCTCACAGCAAGCCTGGCTTATATTAGTAGGGAGAATGTGGAAGAGAGTATAAGCAACAGACTGCAAATTGTACATTCATTGTAACATCAGCTTTTAATGTTTACACTTCTAAATGTTATTTAAAAGTTTCAAAAATGTTTTCTCTCTTTCCTCCCCCCATTTTATGTTTTTATGAAAAGCCTCTCTGGAAGCTGTTGGTTGACATGGTAAGAAGAACTATATTAGTGATTATAGACTTGTGTTTTGGTCATGCTGTAACTGGTGGCATGGAGCCATGCGCCCACATTCAGATTTCTCACCGATTTACATAGCTTGTAGCTAAAAGCCAAAACACTTTTTAAAATCTTTCAGACTAAGGAGATTGTTTGCTGCCTCTGTGTTTCCTTGTTTGGTTTGCAGAGCAGTTTCTTCCTTAAACAGATGTGAATTCTTTTGTCAATATTGGACAAGGAGCAAACTTAATGGTAGCAAGGAACTGGAAAGTAAAGCATGATTTTCAGTTTAATGAATGATATGAAGCAGTTTGTAATATAGGTATTAATGATAAATTAATGTGTAATATTAAAGTAAAGGAGGGATTGATATTAGGAGAGAATTCATTGATTTTTGTGTTTATAAAAGATAAGGTATGTGTACCTTTGCAAGAGCTAATGCAGCTTTGGAAGCTGAGTGTGATTCCATATATGGAGGAAAAACTTGTGTTACAGTATCTCCATATGGTCCTGGTAGCGAAGAACATACTATGAATTGTTGCATTGTTTATGCATTTTTGTCTTATTAGGGGTTTTAGTCATGTTTCCTTTTTGTTCTTTGTATTTTTTAATTTATAAAAATTATTTTTGAAAAAGCCTAGTTGTGAATAAATCCAACATCAGAAGTGGTCTTTATATGTACTGGAATTTTAAAACGTTTTTTAAAGTATAGTGAGAAATAGGTGCCGTTACCTTCACTGTTAACCTTCTTGCACCAGAGTGGATGGTTTTAGGGGTTTGGAGGTTCAAAATCTGCATCAAAGTAGACCTCTAGTGTGGTTCTTTTCTCAGCAATGGAAGAACACATGGTTGTGAGTCTGGATGGACTGTAACATCAGGAGAGTGATCCATTATATTCAGTGGCACTAGGCTGAGCATTGCAGTGTAGGTATACCTGGGATTCCCAGTCCAACAAGGATTGCTGCAGGTAAACTTGGTTTCTGCGCGTGGATCTAGGATTTCCTAGACAAGGGTGAAAGAGTTCAGCTGATGTTAGATGTTTGCACTTAGCAACAGGCATTGTGTTAGCTGACTCATACAACAATTTGACCCAGTCCCCCCTTTTTTTCTTTACCAGGATCCCAAGCAGTTGTTATCTTGCATAGATTTCAGATATATTACTGATGCACTGACAGAAGAGGAAGCTTATAGTAAGTCATTTTAATAGTCCACAACTCCCATTGGCTGATTAATGTCTCTCAATTAAGCAAGCCTGGAAGTACAGTAATCATTTCAGACCAGTTATATCACGAGGCAAAGTGTACTTGAGGTTCCCTGTGAGGGGGCAGCAACAGTGAGAGCGCATCCTCCCCACCTCCTCAGCTGCTGCTGCCTCCATTCCCTCTACCCCATACCTTTAAACAATGCCAGGTCCCTTCCACCAGCTTTGGAGTGACAGACCTGAGCTCCCACCCAGTGCTGGTAAAAGCCCAGGTCTTGGAGACTGAGAACAAGCCAAGCTGAGGGGAGCATTGGAGGCGGAGCTTGGCTACACAGCTCAAGTGGAGTCAGCTGGAACGGGCTAAAGAGGGTCCATTAAAGTTGCATAGAGGTCCACAATGCCATTTGGTGCAATCCTTGCATCCACATGGCATATGCATCTCAAGTGACCCTATGCGGCCCTTAAGAAAACGAAACAAAACCAATCCCTCCTTGCCCCTTCCTTTCTCCACCTCCTTCTTGGAAGCAGCTTTCATTTTTTCCCCTTAAAGGCCCAGTACATCACCCCTGTGCCCTCCATGTCCTTTTACATGGGGTGAGAGGAAGATTCTAATGAAAGATCTTCTGACAGTCCAATCATGCTCAGAGACCCATATGATACAGACCCAAGAGGCAGCCTTCTAGGTGGCCACATTCAGGCTCTGGAAGTCCTTCCAAGAGATGTCAGGTTCACCCCCTCTTTGCCCTCCTTATAGTGATAGGCAAAGACTTCTATGTTCAACTGTTGTTTGGCAATTAATAGTCCCAGATCATGAGATTTTTCAGTTTGCTGGTTTTCTGTTTTATTTTCTAGGCCAACTCATGTTAGCATTTTAATGAAACAATCTTAGTGTTTTAATCATATTTTAATAGCACAATGAATTTAATTCTATCTTAATGTTTGTAGTTTTATTGTATCTTAACATTCTTTGTTTTTTTATTATGTTGTAAGGCACTTGGGTCCCAATTCTGGAAAAAAGGTGGCATATTAAACAAATAAATAAGCAACTGCCCCCCCTTCATTCTGCTCTACAGCTTCTTAGCTTTGTATCTTCAATCAGCCCTACACCCCATCAACTGTCTTCAGCTCTCAGTAAACACAGATGTACTCCACCCCACCCTCATTTCCACGTCTCTTCCAGTCTCTGTTTCCCTGAGCATTTGAGATGCTGTCCCACTTTTTCAAATAGTAGAGAATAATGATTAACATTTTATTAGATAAAAGCATTATGATTTAGAAGCAACAAAATATAAATCATCCCATGTATTGTCTCCTAGACAGCCAGTCCCTACTCAGCCATGGAAGTTCACTGAGGCGGTGGAACTGGTAAAACTACTCCTTAAATAACTCACTTACCTCAAAAACCCTAGTAGGGTCACTATGAGTCAGTTCTGACTTGACGACACATAACAACAACAACAGACAGAGACAGCTAGTCGTTAAGGGAAAGCCTGCCTGAAGAAAAAGGTATTTATCTGCTTGCAGAAGGACAGTTAAAATGGGGCCAGCCTTGAAAGGGCTTCCATTTTTCTGTGCATTTGGGGAATTGCCTCTTTCTGTGATTTCCCCCAGCATTCTATTTTTCTATGCATTTTGGACTTTAAAAAATATTTTGTTGTCCTTTCATCTTCTCACCAACATTTCATTTTTATAGCGAATTATAATTTTTATGTGGTTCTTTTGTTTTTGTATTAATATGTTCTATTACTATGCTCAGTAATCTGCAACAGCTCTATGGATCACGAAATAAATGAGGTGGTAGGGAGAAACTGACAGGAAGATAAAATAGCTCAGGATGAAAAATAATGGCTTGCTGCTTAGTGCATTCATGACTAAACTGAAATTTCTGCTGGGAACTGCAATCCATAATGTTGTTAACTTCAGTGCTGTAGTAGTTCCACAGTGTAGAGTCCATAATTATTTGTATAGAGAATTTAACCCTATTCACGTGGGCAATGAAGTGCAATAATTTTCCTTGAACAAAATAGTATTTTTTCTACATGAAGAGAGAGATTGTTTGGCATCATTGTGTAATATTGTATTTTCTCCTTCTATCCCATCAGTAATACTTCAGAATGGTCTGGTGGGAAAAACTGAGAGAGGTAAGCAGTACAACAGTTCCTTGTGCTGAATTATTGGATTATCAGAACCCACTCCAGGGGGTTGTTCTTGAACTGGGGCTGGGAATTACCTGATTTTCCAGAGATGGTGCTCAGCACATGTTAAAATAAGTCTCACTTCCTTGATATGCTGTTTTCCCAGGAAATTGATTTGGAAACCATATCAGTCACCTGGCAAAGTAGTAGCAAGTTTTCCTGTGGGAGATGACTGTTTTCATTTACAGTATTCTGGAAGCCTTTTCTGAACTGTTGCCGTAATAAACAGTTGCTTGGGGGAAACCTAAAAGTCTTTTCCTAGGACAATATTTTGTTTGTGAAGAATATTGCATTTAACTGCCCAGTGACATTCTATATCTTTGTAGAAGAACAACTGTTAAAACATGGCTATCCAGCTTACACCACATCGTGTGCCTGGCTTGGCTATCCTGACCAGCAACTAAAACAGGTTTGATGCTGCTTGTATGAGTCATTTCTTGCTTTTTTGTGTGACTAACGAGCAGATCTTAAGGAGAGCATCCATATGTAGGAATGTATATATGCAAACTCTATTGGTTATCTCTTCAATCATTCTGTATTTGCTTTCTCGCCCAAAATTGGGACCCAAGGCAAAATTATAAGCAAGTACAGTTTTTTAAAAAATGTGTTACGAATACTAAAACTGCTCTTATGTTAAATCAGTTCTTATATTAAAACAGAAAGCAATTGGAAATATTTTTCAAATCTCAGTTTAAAAATTGCAATTAATGATAGAAAAGTACAGCACACACTTTAAAGCCCCAGACCTTAGCTGTCAGTCAGTTGCCAAGGGATTGTCTAAATATGCTTTGTGTGCCTACAGAAGGAAAATCAAGTAGTGACCACATCTAGCCTTCCTCAGCAGAGAGTTGCAGAGCCTGGGAGCCATTATTAAAAAAACCTTTTCTCATTTTCTCACCAAACATGCTTCTGAAGGTAGTGGGACAAAAATAAAGGCCTCTCCTGAGGATTTCAATTCCCAGTGAGCTTGTATGCTTCATTTTCTGCATCGATTGGGCACATACACAGAACTTGTGTGACCTGGCCTTCTTGTCTAAGAGTTACACCAATGAATCTAAAAAGCAAACTATAAATCTTTTTTTATATTTCTTTACCCAGAAATAATTATATTTCTTTACCCAGTGTGTTGTTAGTCTGTGGAACCCCTTGCCACAGGATGTGGTGATGGCATCTGGTCTAGATGCCTTTAAAGGGAGATTTGGACAGATTTCTAGAGGAAAAGTCCATCGCAAGTTACAAGCCATTATGGGGATGTACAATCTCTAGGCTTAGAAGGAAACTACCTCAAAATGCCAGATGCAGAGGAGGGGTATCAAGAGACGGGCATCTAGTTATCTCATGTGCTCCCAGAGACATCTGGTGGGGCTCTGGTCTAGATGCCTTTAAAGGGGGATTTGGACAGATTTCTAGAGGAAAGTTGCAAGCCATTATGGGGATGTACAATCTCTAGGCTTAGAAGGAAACTACCTCAAAATGCCAGATGCAGAGGAGGGGTATCAAGAGACGGGCATCTAGTTATCTCATGTGCTCCCAGAGACATCTGGTGGGGCCACTGTGAGATGCAAGGAGCTGGATTAGATGGGCCCTTGGCTTGATCCAGCAGGGCAGTTCTTATGTTCTTAAATCTAAATAAATAAATAAAAGAGGCACATTACCAGATTATATTAGTTAAGACAATCTTCCCCAACTTGGTGTCTTCTAGAAGTTTTGAACTCTATTTCCAAGAATCTTATGCTGAGTCTACTGGGAAGTGTAAGGTGAAAAATCTGGAGCACACCTGGCTGGGGGAGGGCTGCTTTAATCCATTGAAACTTACAGCAGTGGCATCATCATCATAATCATAAATGTGCCATCAAGTCAGTTCTGACTTACGGCTTGGACTTGCTTTAAATCTGTATGACAGATATCACTTTCTTTGCAGCTGTGTTCTGATGCTCTGAAGGATGGTTGGACCAGGTACAGTTCATTCTCTCCTTAGTTTTATAAGAAAAGCCTAACATGGGAGTCCTTGTTGGTTATGTCAGTGGGGAAGGGAGAGGATTCACTTTCTCTTGTTTTCCAGAGATATTACATTGTTTGCACAGATCCTGACAGATATACATGCCTTTGCATGTGCATGCATGCACACACACACACTGCATCAAACAATAGCTATTCTTTTTGGCAGCACTAATCAGTTGTTATGAGTTGCGAGAGAGGGATCCACAGAATGACTGTTCTGCTACCCTTCAAACAGTTGGCACTGTATTTATTGCACCACATAGGGCCCCACATCTTTCTCTTGTTCCCCAGTGGAAGGAATTTGTGGGAAGCAAGTCCAAGTCAGCAAAATGATTTGTCTTAAACGAACATCGAAATGCCACTGTTGTCGCAGTTTTACTGTTCTTTGAAAAATAACTAGTATTTTATTGTAAATGTGCCTCTAGGTTCAAAGTCAAAGTTGGAGCAGATCTCCAAGATGACATTCGGAGATGCAAGCTTGTTAGAGAAATGATTGGCCCTGAAAATATACTGGTATATATGTGCATTTCAATTACACTAATTAGATGCTTTATCACAAAATTATTCTCTCCCATTTGATTGTATGAGTACAGTGATGCCTCGCTTAACGATTGCCCCACTCTACAACGAAATCGCTGTACAATTAGGTTTTTGCGATTGCTTTTGCGATCGCAAAATGATGTTTTAAATGGGTTTTTTTCGTTTAACGATGATCAATTCCCTGCTTCGGGAACCGATTTTCGCATTACGATGATCAGCAAACAGCTGATCGTTGGGTTTCAAAATGGCCTCCGGCTGCTTAAAATGGCTCCCCGCTGTGTTTTTGGATGGATTCCTCACTTTACAGGCAGCGAAAATGGCAACCTCTATGGAGGATCTTCGCTGGACGGTGAGTTTTCAGCCATTGGAATGCATTGAGGGGTTTTCATTGGGTTTCAATGGGTTTTTTTTTGCTTTACGACGTTTTTGCTCTACAGTGACTTCGCTGGAACGCATTAACATCGTTAAGCAAGGCACCACTGTAATCATAATCCATCATTGATGCATGGCTGGAAATAGAATGTCTGTTTGTTTTGATGTACGATACACAGAAAGTAAGAAAGTCTTTCTAATTTCAACTTGAATTAAATCAGCTGCCACATTTAAACAAATTGTATCCATATGAACTTTTAAAATAAAAATTTTAATTTAGAAATAGTTTCTTATAAGATTGTCCACTTAGAACAACAGGAGTTCTGCTAAGCTTAATGCATTTTTATCTGCTGTATTTCATTATTGATTGCAATCGTATTCAGGAGACTCTACCAAAAAATAAGTGGTGTGTGTTTGTTATGGCTTATGAACCCCAGTACTGTATGTTTCTGTCTTGGAAGCAGGTATGAATTAAGTGTTGCATGTTGTTGTTGTTGTTGTTGTTTAGTCATTCAGTCGTGTACGACTCTTCATGACCCCATGGACCAGAGCATACCAGTGTTGCATAGGATTGCACTATTAACTTTAGCATGCTTACTGGGATGTTTAAGTAAATCCAAGAACTTTGTTACCTTGGCTAACTAGAGCTTGGTTTGTTAAGGTTATATGGATGTTTAAGTTGATTATATTGTTTTTCCTCTTTTCAATCAATTTTAGAAAACGTTAGCTAGAAAGTATTGGATTATTTCAACCATTTAACATCTCTGCAGTAGGAAGCTAAATTATGGTACAGGAAAACTTGGCTCTTATTTTGTTAAATATGTCTCAAATCAAGACCATTGTTATGAATTGAATAATACTGTAGAGCGAGTTCAACCTGTAACTGTTGTCAGATGTTGGATGCTAACCAAAGATGGGAAGTGGAAGAGGCCATAGAGTGGGTCACTAAACTTGCTGAATTCAGACCACTATGGATTGAGGAACCAACTTCGCCAGATGACATTCTTGGACATGCAACCATTTCAAAGGTTAGAGGGCTTGTTTACAGAATTGCTACCCAGTAGATAACAAGAGTGATTAATTGACTGGTTGTGTGTGTGTGGTTCAGGCTGAAAGAATTGTCAAAAATTGTTAGAGTGTGCTTGCTGCTTGATCCCATTACATCTAGAAAATATATTCCATTAATGAGTAACACATTTGTGAAAGCCCTAATGAAAGACTGTAAAATACATACAGTATTCTCGCATGGGAAATTCAGCCCACAATGGTCCTAAAATGTATGTGAGTCATTCACCTTTTAATGGTTTTAAAGTTCCAAATGTACGAGAAATACAATATTGGCAAAAATGTGTGATGAAAACTACCTAGAGCGTCAGTAGTCTTGCATGTATACCAGGGCCAAAATCCAACACAGATTTAGGCAAGCTTAGCTCCCATTCATTTCAGTGGGTCATGAATGCATTACTCTGCTCAGTTATCATCCAAGTTTATTCCTAATGGTCCTACACACCCTCTTATGTAATTCTTCACACCTAATTAACTAAGCAATCATTAAAAAAAAAAAAAGAAACCTCAGACCCAGAGCATTAACTTTAGTAACAGTTTCTTTTGGCTCCCATCTAAATTTATGATGTGAAACAATATAAATTTTTTTGGCTTTACCTTTTGAATGACTATATTTGCAAAATCTCAGAAACCTGTGCCATGGCACACACTGTTCTTATTTTCAGGTTTTGGCACCGTTAGGGATTGGTGTTGCAACTGGAGAACAAGTAAGTTGGTTTATTTATGCCTTATTTTTAGTTTATGTTTTGGAAACCATTCCACTGAAAATCGTTTAGGGATATGATGGGGTAAATACCTCTTTATCACTTCTCCTCTTCTGTACATATCCCAGTACTCAGACAAGGATGCAATGTTTTGTGCTGATTAACCTGTTAAAGAGAATCCTTCGAGACACTGCTCAAGGGAAATATAGATACAGACATTTACTCATATGCTAGTTTTTGGGGTTTTTTGTTTTTGGTTAGTCAGTTTGTACAACCTGAGCATGTGGGACATTTCTCAGGGATGAAACTGTATATAGTATTCTTGGTCTATATTTGTCCCTAGGCTGGTTAGATCTGTCACAAAGAGATTGTTCAGCCAGATTGTGGAGGTGGTAAATGCATTCCACTTTCTGGAAGGAAAGTGCTGGTTATTTCAGCCTTAAAGGAAGCCATGAAAGAACCATTCCTGAAGAAGCCCTCAGTTGATCCTCTTGCTTTGGACATCTTTCGATCACTGAAGCCTATTAGGGTGTTTTTACACATGAAACAAGGGAGGACTAAATGGATGGTAGGTTTGGAGACGTGTCCACTCTAACATCTTTATCCACCTGAAAATCAGCAAGATGTTTGGTGTGAAGGTTTGCAAAGGAACCTGTATCCTTGATCAAACTTAGACAACCACCTGGCAGATATCCTTGGATTTGTATTCCTGCATCAAGCAGGGGGTTGGACTTGATGGCCTTTTAGGCCCCTTCCAACATCACTATTCTATGATTCTATGCACAGGTCTTCCTTGCTTCTAGGTGAGGCAGAGATATAAGTGCCAGTGACTTATATTTCCATTCTTGTCCCTACCACCTTCCAGTGTTTTCAGGCACAATGCATGAAGGTTTGAATCTTTTCTGTTCATTGAAGATGCTAGACTACATTATGGAACATTTTAAACGGCATGGATCTTTGTGGTATTTTCAGTGCAGCTTTTGATACATTTTTAGAATAGAAATGGTTTTGGTTACCATGGTGTATGTCCATCACTGAGAGATGGATTGAGAAGTGTATTCCTAGATCTCTCAGTAACTTTAGTGCCATCAACAACCACATTCCTCAGGTTTGTCTTTTTGGTTGAACCTTGGGTATGTTTCTTGCAGTGGTTCTTGTCCTTCTGAGGACAGGTTGCAAAAGACAGTTCTGAGAGGCTGTTATTACACTCAAATGCAATTGGCTTGCTGCATACTCAAAGGTTTCATCTTATTAATTATAATAGGAGACATTCACATGTGCCTGGGTGAAGTCATCTGGAGATTTCAGGTTTGTCTTTTTGGTTGAACCTTGGGTATGTTTCTTGCAGTGGTTCTTGTCCTTCTGAGGACAGGTTGCAAAAGACAGTTCTGAGAGGCTGTTATTACACTCAAATGCAATTGGCTTGCTGCATACTCAAAGGTTTCATCTTATTAATTATAATAGGAGACATTCACATGTGCCTGGGTGAAGTCATCTGGAGATTATAGTTGCTTATTAATTATAATAGGAGACATTCACATGAGCCTGGGTGAAGTCATCTGGAGACTTTCTGATAGTTGCAAACATATGACAACTCAGACAAGTACTTTTTTGTTTCAATTTTAAGAAAAAAAGCAGGCATCATAAACTAAGCACAGATTTTATCATGCTCAAAATGCTATATTTATGCATTTACAGTGGTGCCTCGCTTAACGAGTGCCTCTAACGACAAATCCATATAGCAACGGATTTTTTGCGATCGTTTTTGCGATCACATAATGATGTTTCTAATGGTAAAAAATCGCTTTGCGATGATCGGTAAGCTGTTTCACTTACCAATTTTCGCATGCGATGTTTTAAAAACAGCTGATCGGCGGTTCCCAAATGGCCGCTGGGGAAAAAATGGCCGCCCGCTGTGTTTTTGCATCGACTCCTCTCATACTGGGCAGCGAAAATGGCGGCCGTATGGAGGATTTGCGCTTAAAGGTGAGTTTTAACCCCATAGGAATGCATTAAACGGGGTTTAATGCATTCCTATGGGCTTTTCTTTTCGCATAGCGACGAATCTGGATAGCGACGATTTTTCCGGAACGGATTATCGTCACTATGCGGGGCACCACTATATTAATATAGCAATCCATACTTTCTGCAGTCACCTTAGTGTTAGTTGAATATTTGTCTACCTAGCATAACTAGTAATATGTCTGTCTATTGTATCACAAAGTGTGTGAGTGACCAGAATCCTGTTTTGTCGAAGCACAATGTAATGTTACACCTACAAAAATATGCAGTGTGTTCTGCCCTGGCAACAAGAACTGTGCAAGTTCATAGTGTAATTGGTTGTATGGTTCCTATTTCAACTGATTGCACAATGCCCCAGTGGAACTGATTTGTAGATATCACTCCCGCCTTGGTGTAATTGCAGCTAATATGGACATAACATCAAGTCTCCCCTGCATAGCTACTTAATAGGATTTCAGCCAGTGTCCCTTTGCAGACAGGAGGCTTTTAGCCTCCTAACAGTTCCCCATACCATGTGAATCCGCAAGTGGAGATACTTCTAATGCTTTGTTTCTTATGTTTCTTTGAATATTTAAGTTGAAGAGATATCTCTGAAATCTTGCAATAGCATGAATACAAGAAAACAATGTACAAAATTGTGTTGAGTTTTCACATATTTTATTTAAAAAATTACCAGTCTTAAGAATCTTCGGTTGAATAATATTTATTTCCATTATCCACAGTGCCATAATAGAGTCGTCTTTAAGCAGCTCCTGCAGGCCAAGGCCTTAAGCTATGTCCAGGTGGATAGTTGCAGGCTAGGAAGTGTCAATGAAAATTTGTCCGTGTTGCTGATGGCCAAGAAGTTTCAAAGTAAGACACTTGGAATACATTAGTAAAACTAAAATCTTTCTGATTGTCACTTCTAGAGCAGCCATATCATTGTAGGGGTTTGTGCACGCTATCTTATTTTCCTTTTTTTAAATAACTGGTTGACATTTTGGAAGTGTTTCTGCCCAATAGATCTTGCTCCTCACCCCATCCTAACTTAAAAAATAGCAGTAAAAGCATGAAGTATGCATAGGAATTACCATGGCCAAAATTCTGTTGCATGTTTCTGCAAATGGAGTAACTTTTAGTGGCAGGTTGCCAGAATTTAAGAAATGTCCATGTGCATTACTGATTGGTTGCACGCAGTGTCACACAACTCAGCATGCAACCGGAGGTGCCTTGTGAAGATTTCTTAACTTACAGGAACTTGTAATGAAGTTATACCTTTTAAGTAATTGTGCAACAGGATTTCAGCCCATATGTGTGCAGAATTGCTCAGTTTGCTTTTTGCCAGCAACCAATGAATTTTGTTATTACCTTTCTTGCAGTCCCAGTGTGTCCTCATGCTGGAGGAGTTGGGCTCTGTGAATTGGTACAGCACTTGATAATATTTGACTACATTTCAGTATCTGGTAGCCTTGAGAACAGGTTAGTAATACTTTTGAAATTCTACTGTTCTGGTTTCCACATGTTGGTGAAATCCACTGTGGAAGGTTGTATTTGTTTGGTACACAGTAGGCCATTTTAAGAAAATGTGAAGTTTGACCATGCTACTCTGTTTTTACTTCAGGATGTGTGAATACGTAGATCATCTACATGAGCACTTCAAGTATCCAGTAGTTATTAGGAATGCATCCTATGTGCCGCCCAAGGTATTGTTTTATTAGCATAGTCAGAATGTTCTCAACACTCTCATAGTATAAGCCTCTTAATGAACATTAAATGGAATCAGAGAGAGATATCCAGAGGTAAATTATTTTGAGAAAACTTATGTTGTACTATTTTTAATTGAAAAGAATTGGACTCATTTCTTGAAAAGAATATGCCCACATTTCAGAAGTCTCTGGCACTAGCAAACCATAGTTGAAATATTTTCTACTTGCTTTCATATAATAAATAATGTAAAGAAGTTATGGTATTTTCAGTTATTAGATAGCTGACATTTTTATTGTAACTATTTTTTAAATTATTCCAATTAAAGGTACTTCCATAATTTACTAGATGTCAGGCTGGACTGTTTTGATATAATAGGGATAGGTCTTTCGTGTTTACATGAAAGGAAAAAAACATAGAAGAAACTGGCTTTCATTTTTGTTGGTTTTTAAAATGGGGCCTATGAAACATAAATAAGTCATAATAACAAAAGGGTACACAAATGTTTTGTGTTCTTTCATGGTTCCCTCATTTATTGAACTTACCTTTCACCCCTTATCAAATCACCAGAAAATGTTTTTATCCAATAGCACCATGAGAGCTGCTGCCCACAGCCAATGAGAATGTCCAGGGATGGGAATTTTGAAGCTAAAAGGGCCTGGTTGGAATCCCATGAGGAGGAATGCTTCACAGTCCTTCTTTATGGGTGGGATTCCTGTGTGCTGCCGACCTCCATCCTAATTCCCTTCATCTTGGGTTGTGCTATTTGCCTGCTGCTACCCGCCAAGCTCAAAGACAAGAAGAGAAGGCATGAAGTGGCAAGGAACAGCAAAATCTCCCCATATTTTAGTAGTGTCAGTGGGTGGGGCTTTGACTGTATATTTTACCTTTATTTGCCTGCTTGCTTTTCTTGGGTTTGGATTTTCTATTTCTTTGGCAGTTATTTTCTTTATATGTGTGTGTTTGTGTGTTGCTTTCTTAAGTTTGATTTTTAAAATTGTTACATTGATTTTTTTTCTGTTTGGGGTGCTTTACTGCTTTTTGAATGGGTTGGAGGGTGAGTGAGGTACTGTATTTTTCCGTGTATAAGACGATACTTTTGTCTAAAATCTTTAGATAAAAAATTGAAGGCTGTCTTATATACAGAAGGGGGGAAGGGATCAAAGCGCTTTGATCCCTGCTTTTCTCCTCCACTCTCTTGTGAAGAAAACAGAGAAAGTATTTCCTTCGCAAGAAAGTGGAGAGGGAAAGCATTTTCTTCGCAATAAAGTGGAAAGGGAAAGCAGGAATCAAAACGCTTTGATCCCTGCTTTCCCCCTCCACTTGCTAAGGTCCAATTAGATTTCTTAATTTTTGGTTAGAAAAGTGGGGGTCTTATACATGGGGCCTCTTATACAGTATTTTGTATAGGTCTGATGATTTTTCTCATGTACTACTGTCTACTTCTACAGTCGACTGATTCTGTTACTTTGCCTTTGCTTTTCTGGAGTCATTTTTAATGGTTCTATGGGATTTAATTTGGACTGGCATCAGGAACACAAATGGGGGAGACCTGAAACAAAAGAACCCAAAAGATGCTTTTTCTTTCATGTTAAGCAAAAGGACTGGAAAACACAAAAATGAACAAAAATGAAAAGACACGTGTGGGGAAAAAATGAAATAAAATATAAGATTTTGTGCCGTATAAATCTGTGATGAGTTAGCTTGAGAAGTTTGAGCCTTCAAAGACAGCTGAAGGTGACATTTTTTACAAAAACTTTTATGCAAGAGCAGAACAGTCTGGTTAAAGATAGGAAATTATTTCTCCTTAAAACAGTAGAGATATGTATTTAAATATAAAATTTCTTTCAGGCACCTGGGTATTCTTCTGAAATGAAAGAAGACTCTGCCAGAAGATATCAGTTCCCCCAAGGTGAAGTCTGGCAGAAACTCCTCTCTGATACAGCTAAAATAAGCTGAAATGCTGAGTTTTCAGACTGAACTCCCTAAGCTATTTTTACCACTACAAATAGTTGGCTTTGCTGAAGGTCCAAGGAAGACTAGATTCCAATGAATGCTTTTGAAATGTTTTTCTCAGCTTGCATAAAACAAAAAATAGACTACAAGTCCCATTATAGAACTCCTGATCATTTTACACAAAGAGCTTTTGTCTAACTCAGCTTAAATAAGACATATGATTCACTGCTCCTGGAACTATTAGAGCAGGCGTGGAATTATATAATGAAAGATGTACTTTTGAACAAACCTATTAAGAGTTTCAAATAAACTACGATTAAACAGACTAGTATATTTGAATGTTTTGTGGTGTTCTGCAGAGGCCAAATTGAAATTCAAAACGATTAAGTATTACTTAACATGAGCACTTGACTGAGAATCAGATGTACATACAGATCATCACAGCACCTGGCTGTGGTCTTGTGAAGGCAGTGGATCAGAACAACAGAGGGAAGTGGTCTGATAACAGGACAGGTTACACGGGCAGGTTCAGAGTGTTAATAGGCATTGGGTTACTTGGAGGAAACTATGGCACAGGGCATGTTAGGCTTCAAAACAGCAAGATAAAATTGGCTAGTTTATCTTGTTACATCACATCACACAAGAGAGAGAAAACTTGATGAAGCCGCATCTGTGTAACACTGGGGTGGAGCTTTTTAAAGCAATATTATAGTTAATGTTTAGTGTGAAGGTTAGTGCCTTTGACTATCTTAAAATAGCAGGGCAAACAAAAATGTATCCTTCCAGCCTTTACTAGACAGCGACACTCATCAGCTTTTGTCAACATAAGCACTGGTGAGGAATGCCAGGAGCTGTAGTCCAAGTGTCTGGAGAGCCACATTTTTCTCACCCCTGCATTAAAAGTAATTCCTCTCAGACCAGAGAGAGGGAAACTTATCCCCTGAAGACCTATATTCCTTCTGCTCCCTATTCTTCCACCAGCAGTTGAGGTCAAAGCCCTATCTACACTTAACTCACACGCCTCCAAACACATTTTCCCACAACCTTGGGCAGCAGTTAACTGAGAAAAAAATTTCCACTAGAACCATCAAGCTTTTCTTGAAGTCAGCCACCACATACAGCAATCTTGGTGTGTGTAGAAGGGGGCTATAAATCTTCCCTTCCCATGCTTAAGTCATCTTGCAGTTATTGCTGTTTTTTGAGGGGGGGGGAGCTACCATGCTGCCAGGAAGTTCTGAGGAAGATGCCCTGTGGACTATCCATTTCATTTGTGGCGAATATTCAGATCCAAGATGCCTTTTCAATACAGGCAGCAGAGAAGGAGAAAGAGAGGTTACTTACCTATAACTTTGGTTCTTCGAGTGATCATCTGTGAATTCACACTAATGGGTTTAATCTGCACTTGCGCAGAGGTCTCCAGAATAGTCTAGAGCTTTATGATATGTTTGTCAAGGGCTGCTCCCCTAGCCCATGTGGTCTGCCCGTCCTGGTAATTACCTCAAGTTCCGAAGAACAGCCCACCACTGCAACAAGTGATACAGGAGTGAGGGACAGAAGGGAGGACGGGCAGGAAGTGTGAATTCACAGATGACCACTCAAAGAACAGTTAAGTAACCTCTCTTCTTCATGGTCTCTGTGAATGCAAACTAATGGTTGATTGACAAGCTAACTTACCGGAGGAGGAATGTCACGGAAGAACAGAAGTACAGCTCTTCCAAACGATGCATCCTTCTTGGCTCTCAGATCAAGGCGATAGTGGGTGGGAAATGAAGATGGTGTTGACCATATGGCAGCTTTACAAACGTCCAGGAGTGGTACTCCACGAAGAAAGGCTGCAGAAGTAGCCAAAACTCTGGTAGAATCGAGTCTTAATACCAGCAGGTAGAGGCTGTTTGGCTAGCTGGTACGCTAACTTTATAGTGGAAACAATCCAAAGGGATATAGATTGAGAAGAAACATGGGAACCTCTGTGAGGGAAGTTGTTTTGATATGCTGAAGGAAGAAGTCCATGAGACATAAAAAGCTATTGCACATCTAACGTCCAGTGCGTGTAGAGACCGTTCTAGGTCATTCATACTGTAGGTGATGGAAAAAAGGTAGGTAAAACAATAGGTTGTGAGAAGTGAAAATGCGACACAACCTTTGGTAGAAAGGAGACATCAGGGGAAAGGGTGACCTTGACCAGGTGAAATTGAAGAAATGGAGGATCAACCCTGAGGGCAGCAAGTTCCGAGGCTATACAAGCAGAAGTAATGGCGTCCAGGAAGAGTGTCAAGGAGGTGCTCTGAGACGGTAGCGAGTGGCTCAAATGGAGCACAGGTAAGCCAGTGAAGAACAGGTAGCAACCATTGTGGGGAAGGTGCAGGAGGACACATATTGGAGACACCTTGATTATAGAAGATGGAGAATCAATAAAAGCCGCCTAGAGTGGCCTTTTAGGCCAGATGGGCAGGGTATAAATCAAATAAATAAATAAAAGTTTGTAACTCCAGCTATCGATGAAGACGAACGGTAGCTCAACAAGAGGAGACCTCAGCGGCGGCAAAAAGGAACTGAGGTAATTACCAGGACAGGCAGACCACGTGGGCGGCCCTTGACGAACATATCATAAAGCTCTAGAATATTCCGAGACTTCTGCACAAGCATAGATTAAACCCATTAGAGTGTGCACTCAGAGACCACGAAGAACATGTGGTTGCCTACCCTCAGCTCTCAGTCTTAACACCTGGAAGGCTAAACTGCCATGAGGAACATGTATGGAATCCTTTTCCTTTTAACAATTTATTTGCATTCTTATGGTGATATTTGATCTAGTTTGAACAAACTAGAAATTATCTCTCATCTGCTTTTTTTGTTTTTAAGAAACACTTTGGCCTGCAATCCTACACACTTACCTGCCAGTTAAGCACCAGATACATTCAGACTGCCTCTGTTAATCATTTATATTTATGATAACAAGGATGTTTACCTGGCCACAAGAGTTACTAAACAATGATTTACTATGCTTACTGAGTTACTGAGTAAATATGAAGAGCTGTTCGTTATCATAATGAAGGTTAGACTATACCACATTTTCCGTGTATAAGACGCCCCCCCTTTTTCTAACCCAAAATTAAGAAATCTAAGTGGGGTTTAGCAAGTAGAGAGGGGAAAGCTGGGATCAAAGCCCTGCAAGATCACTTTGATCCCTGCTTTCCCCTCCACTTGTTTTTGTTCTCTCCTCATCTTACTTCCGTGTATAAGACGACCCTCAATTTTTAGTCTAAAGATTTTAGACAAAAGTATAGCCTTATACATGGAAAAATACAGTAAATAGTGTATGTTCTACTAAATAAATTAACTAGTGTTGATTAGCAATGCATATCTATTTCAGTTTGTCCTCAAATAACTGGACTCCCCTCCATTCTCAATGCTTTTTCTGTAGCTTCAAGTATTTCTGGAATGTTTAAATGTTTGGCATAGTATATTAGTACCATATAAAAAGTTTGTCTTCCAAATTATGTAACACAATTGCACTACAGTACAGCATCTAGTTTATTAGGCATTTTTTGAAAAATGTTATACAAATAAAAATATAACCTATTTATCTTTCACAGCTAGTATCCTCTATACAAAAGTGTTGTATGAAATACAGTACATATTTAAATAGTCCATTCAAATTCCATGTAACAGCTGTGATCATTCATCACAGAATGATTTCCCTTTTGACCTTCTAAGTGAACACGGCTCTTTAAAAACACTGCAAACCGAATATTAAGGCACGTAGAAATATTGCAACAAGTCCACTTAGACAGCCATTTCCATTTTAATAGCAGGATGAGGATTATACCCCTCTATTTCAAAATCATCTGCTTTGAAGTCATTGATGTTTTCAACTTTCCGAAGAATTTTGAGTTTGGGAAAGGGTCTTGGTTGCCTCTGAAGCTGAAATTTCAAAATATATTATAATTATTCCATAACAGGTGAGCTTAGTTACAGAACTGCTTACTAAAGCATACTTGTGTTAGTAATATATTTGACAACCCTTAGTTTAAACTGATGCACTTCTTCCACTACGCAATTAGAAAGCAGCTTTTGGAGTATTAACTACAAATATAATTCCAAAGAGTCTTCAAGATTGGCCTTACTGGAGATTTATTTACCTACAAATATGACTGTTTTGACAAAAAATTGTTAACATAGTAAAACAGCACTCTCCTACCTTTCCAGAAAGTACCTATCTAAAAGCCCATGGAGATCCACTCCATAATGTTTGATTGTGGCATCCTCCACTCCAGTTGGTATTTGCTAGCCTCAGGAAAATTGCAAAGGTTTCCACCAATTCCAGAATGACAGTAAAATTAAAGACAAAGCGCACTATTTCAGTATTTATTTTGCTTATGTAGCATGGTGCAGATTAATAAGAATACAGCCTTTAGCTTCTATCAAATCAGGCAGAGCACATGCAGCTATGTAATATTATGCAGCTGCTGCAAGAAACAGAAGTTACAATTAAAATGAGAATCTGTAAATAGCGATTTTGATATTTACCTGGATTTTCAAAGGCTCAATATGGTTTAGGTATACATGAGCATCTCCTAGTGTGTGTATGAACTCACCAAGCTGTATTAAAAAAAGAGTGGTTCTTTAGTGTATGAGGAAAAATAGCAAAGAATATACATGATGATGCTAACAATTCATGTTTCCTGTACATGTTTTCTGTATTTCTCTGCGAATCCCCTACAAATACAGACACAAGGGTAGATTCTTTAAAATTAATTTCACTGAAGTATATTTCTAATATCTTTAACGTCAAATAGTAACTTCTGTCCTAAAACAAATCCTTAGACTTAGCTCTGCCATAAACATTGGCTGAAATCCTGTTGCACAGCTCCATGTGTGCAAGTTTTTCCACAGCCTGATGATATCAACATCAGTTGTGAATTGCCACTGATAATAGGCAAATGGCCACTGAATAATGGCAATTTTGGGGTGTACATACAATAAAGACATATGTGCCCTATAGTTACCAAAGAAAGCCTTTTATAATTATCAGTTTGATGATGACATCATCACTTTTGTATACACAAAGTTGCACAACAGGATTTCAGTCGCTGATTTAAAGAAGACTTCCCTATGTAAATTAAAACTCAATTAGGATAATTTCTAAAATATGAATATGTAGAATCTGTCCAAAAAGTGTTCTCTTTTCAACTGACATTAACCTTTTTTTTGTAAAAATAGGGCTTTTATCAGTTTGATGATGACATCATCACTTTTGTATACACAAAGTTGCACAACAGGATTTCAGTCGCTGATTTAAAGAAGACTTCCCTATGTAAATTAAAACTCAATTAGGATAATTTCTAAAATATGAATATGTAGAATCTGTCCAAAAAGTGTTCTCTTTTCAACTGACATTAACCTTTTTTTTGTAAAAATAGGGCTTTAGCCAGCCCAAAATGAAGGGGTCAAAAACAAAAAAAAAAAAAAAAAAAAAAAAAAACCTGAAATGATAACAAAACTGTATCATACAGTTTTCCCATGCCTACAGTGAAATCTTATACACCGTAGTTTCATACACTGTTTTGAATGGTGCTTCCTCCATGTGAAGCCCCAGGCCAGGGCCGGGAAGCATTTGTAGGTGTGCCGTCACTCCCATCTCACTCTGAAGAGACTCAGACCTCCCCTCCACCTTCTCCACCTAGGAAGGAAAGTAAGAAGGTGGACACTAAAGAGCTGGAGGAGCTGAGAGACAGAGAGGGACAGAAACATCAAGGGGTGGATACCCAGGATTTGGTATTGGGGATAAAAGGGTTAAATGTGGCGGTGCAAAGCGGTGAAGATTTGGCGGGAAAAGGTCGGTGGAGGCAGGAGTAGGGGATATAAAGGAGAAATGGGACGACATCCTAGGGTTAAATGTGGCGGTGCAAACCGGTGAAGATTTTGCAGGAAAAGGGGAAAGGTCAGAGGAGGCTGGAATAGGGGATATAAGGAAGAAATTTGGGGACATCCCGGGCGGTTGGGAAAAGATTTGGGTACAGGATCCCTGTACAGGGAAATGGGAACAAGTAAAGGTTCCCCACGAGGAGGCTGAATGGCGGAGGTGCCAGGGACAACAGCCTCGTCCCTCCTACTGGGGAGAGACGGAGGCAAAGGAGTGGAGGCGCCGTCTCCGGGAAGAACGTGAGGCAGTGGCATGGGAGATCAAAGCCAAGAAGACATGGCATCTTTCCGAGCTCCAGAAGATGGGAGTCTTCCCAGACCATGGTTGGCCAGTCCGAGAGGGGATAACCCTCTCTGGGATTGCAGCGGAGATGAGGAGACCCTACTGTTACTAGCTGTGGAGAGAGACAAAGGAGACCCTCCAGTTACAGAGAAAGTCTTATCTGGACCGTGGGAGTTCGACGAACTAAATCCGTTTGTTAATAATGTTTGGACACCCTTGCAGTCACGGTTTCGACAGCAAGAGACGTTAAATCCTGTTCAAAGGGACGTTGCAGTTAATGTTGAAACGTTAATAAACGAAGATAATGTTGTTGAGTTCGAACCACCTCATACTTTATTTGGTGTGACTGAAGCCCCTACAAACGAACCCTCACACTCCAAAGTTAAGTGCACTGTTGGTATGACTTCACAAATTGTTAGAAATGCTAGTTTAAGAAAAAGACTTTTAAAATAGGAATATTTGGAATACATATTTTATCCAAGCATATTCTATACAGATAAAAATTGAATATGTAGGAAATATATGCACTAAGGAAAAGATACGAGATCCGATTCTAGAAATTTGGTTTACTTAGCTATAAATCAAAATAGCTTAGCAGGCAAAAAAGCCACCTCTTACAGGGAATGGCAATCAAGGGAGCATCCAGTTTGTAAGTATGCAGTCTACACAACTTTGTATCCAACTTTGTACTGCCTACACCACTTCTTATTCCTAATTTTTAAAACAAGTACGTTAAAATATAAAAGTGTGGAAAGTACCTTCAAGCCTGTAACATGAGCGATCATTGAAGTGAGCAATGAGTAACTGGCAATGTTGAAAGGTACTCCTAATCCCATGTCTCCAGAACGCTGATATAACTGACAAGACAGTTCACCATTTAAAACATAGAACTGGCAAAGAGCATGACACGGTGGTAAAGCCATTGCAGATATATCTGATATACAAAAGAAGACACAGTAAAAACTCTCTTAAAAACAAAATAGTTTACAAATACATCTAATGTCAAAATTACACCCACAATGCAATCTCACTGGGTCTCTTTGTATTTAAACTACGTAGCAATTCCAGTTTTCCATCTATATGTCAGTATTACAAACGGGAAAATAATCTATGGGCACATCCAGACAGGGGAAGCTGGAGTGTTCTAGTTTGCACTTAAGAGGTTCTTGCCTTTAATGCAATCTATTTTGTCTCCCGCATGAGAGATATCTGGATCGCTCCAATTCGTCCCCCTTTCGATTAATGACACTCTATTCCAAACCTCTTCCCCTGCCTTTTCCCATGACTGTCATTTGGCAGATAATGGGGGCTTTCTTTTAGTTGTTAAATAAAGTAAGTGATGTTGCACAACAACAATGCATCTACCTAGCATTATGGGACACATGCCGCCAGTGTATCCCCTTTATCTAGAATAGTGTTATATTGACAGGAAAATATTTTAAAAATTAAAATGGTAGAGTAGATGCAAAAAGACAAAGAGGGTTCTCCATTGTCCCTTTGAATGCCACAACTCAGCAAATATGTCACAGGACTGTCATCTCGGATAAAACTACCTTCAGCTCTACTTGGGTGCAAACTAACCACTGGAATAGGCTACAGAAGGGTAATTAGGAGCACTCCCCATTGTGTCCAAAAATCTGTAGACTTATCACCGTGCCAAAAAGGAGTGGCACAGCTCTGAAAATGGATGGGATGGATCGCTCCAAGTCAAAACACATGTGAAAGCTGTAATTTGATTTAAACCAAGCAGCAACAAAAGCAATCCAAATAGCAAGCTGTATACCCATCTGGACATGCCCTATGTCAAAGTATAATGCAAAGTGGATAGTTGATATGCACGAACTGCTCTTATAGAGCTTACATGGGCATTTTGGGAATGTATTTTTAATCCAGGTTAACACAGCTGGCGGCATGTACAACTATGACAATAGTTAACACTAAAATATTAATTACCATACTATACCTTTAGGATTCCATGCGCACATGATAATTCTTCTGTTATCTGGATCATTTCTGATAGTATCAATTACCTGCTGCAATTGATCTATGCCTTGTCCTGTGTAATCTAATAAGAGATGGGGAAAGAAGAAGCAAGAAAATTAAAAGAATGCCCAATTTACTGATAACTCTGCAAAGTACATATGCCAGACAAACACATAAGAGGCAATTCATGACACTTACTCTCCTATTATCCCATTAAAGTACTCCATAATAACATTATATGTATTTAAAATGACAAGTGTATTTTCCCTTTGGCAATGTCTACTAAGAGAAACAAAGTTTGCTTTGATTGGATGGTATGCATTATGAAATCACAGCCATCACTGACACACATAAGACCATATCGGCTCACATTAAACAAATTCTCTTCTGATAGCTACAACATGAAGTAATTACTTCCATATGTTAACGACCCATCACATACTTAACACTAGACAAAATGTTTATATTATCCAATCATACCTCAACCACAGTACAGAATTAAGTAATTACTTCCATATGTTAACGACCCAACACATCCTTAACACCAGACAAAATGTTTATATTATCCAATCACACCTCAACCACAGTACAGAATTCACATTTTAACTGCTAGAAATCAAGAGAAAAAGAATGTGCATATATGAACAAAATGTATAATTAGCATAAAAGTGCTTTACCTGCTAGAAATCAAGAGAAAAAGAATGTGCGTATATGAACAAGATGTATACTGTAATTAGCATAAAAGTGCTTTATTCTAGATGGCTCAGCAAACTGAACTGCAAAGTATCACTATCTGATGCCACTTGACTGAAAGCACAGATGTTAAAACTGTTAAGTAGAGATACCTATGAATCCACCTTAGTGCATGAGGTTGTTTGAGCTATTGAACAAATCTGCTTATTCTGTATTGATTCAATACAGCTTTTCCCAGGGAAAGCTGGTAACTTTTAGCTATGGCTATAATAGTACCAATTATAAGTATTTTCCTACAGTGGCCTAACAGAGCAAAAAGACATCTTTTCTGAACCATAATTATTTTGAAATGCAACGTCTATTCAACTTCATCCTCCTAGAGGATGAAAGATGCTGTTAAATTATTGTAATATTTTACAATTATATCTTCAATATCATAGAATACTGGATTAAGCAACGAGTTCTGTCTTCACATTTGAAGATACCTAAATATAGAAAAACAAAATTTACTCTGTCTCCACCTTTATGCATATCTTTATATTCAGCTCCAAAATGTCTCCACTGGAAGCCATAAACTGGGCCAAGATCTCCTTCCTCTCTGGAATAGAATCCCTGCTTGTCTAAGAATTCACGAGAACCGTTGGCATCCCAGATTTTAACTCCTTTAGCAGAAAGCTCTTTTGCATTTGTAGAGCCCTGTGTTAAATAAGAAAGAGTGGTTATCTATCAATGTCTTTGATACTAGTCAAAATAGCCTTAAAATTTACTCTATTCCTTAATTCCCGAATACATGTGGATTTCTAGTTCAAATTACAAACAGTGGGCTAGCACTGCAGGGCAAATATTGCCCCAATAGCCTCTGAAAATGTACAGATCTCCCAACGCTGAAATAAAGGACCAAGAAAAAGAGCCTTATGCATGAGGAGCTACTTGACTCGCTGCAAGCACTTAAGCCTCAACAAATCAGTAAACTGAAGCATAAACTTAAGAGGGCTATTTCCAGTATGTGTCTCTAATCATACCATTAGAGATGCATATGGGGAAAAGCCCTCTTAAAAGACTGGTGCCGCAGTTGTTAAACTGCAGTACTGCAGTCAAGTTTCTGCTCACGAGCCAAGTTCAGTGTCAACAGGACAGCTGCTCAGGGTTGACTCAGCCTTCCATTGTTCCAAGGTTGGTAAGTTAAGTACACAGCTCGAGGGGGAGGAGAGAATGTGTAACCTGAATAATTAAATTGTAAACTGCTCAGATACTGCTTTAAGCACTATGGGGTAGTATATAAGCAGTAGACTTTGCTTTTGTTCTTGTGAAGTTTTGGGGGAGATTAGTATACAAATGTGTGCTTTTGTGAATTTTTGTTAATAAATATATGTGTATGAATGAAAGTGTAAGTGGCTTTTCTACTTTAGCTTTCAATTTGTGCGGCAGTTCTCTTGCTTCGGGTGTCAAACATATGACCCCCGGAAAGGGAACGTGGCTCTCTGGCCAAAATGGTTCTGCATCTCAACAGATGAGAGTTGAAATACAGTGGTGCCTGAACTTACGATCATCCTGACTTGCCACCAAATCGAGTTACGACTAACTCTGGTCACAAAATTTTGCTTTGACTTGTGACCAAGCTTTGAGATACGATCAGGAAAAAGGCAGAGAATTTAAACTGCTAACCGTTGGTCTGCAAAGAGGCTGCTTCTCTGTAGCTCCTTCGCCAACCAGTGGTTAGTGTGTGTGTGTTAGCAGAGAGGCTTTGTACTGCCTGGTACTGCTTTTTAAAATGCCTGTTCTGAGTGAGTACTGTTTTGCAGTGTGAGTTTGGGCTGGGGGGGTATTTCTGTGCTGTTCTGCTGTTCCATTCTGCTGGAACGGGTTTGTTTGATTCTGTGGCTCCTAGAGTTTGGGCTGGGTGGGGATGGGTTTTGCAGTGTGTTTTTTAGTCTCTGCTGGAACGGGTTTGTTTGATTCGGGGGTTATGTTTCCGTGCTTTGATGGGTCTTGCAGTGTGTAGTTATAGCATTTTTAGTCCCTGCTGGAATGGGGTGAGTTTTGTTTTGTTTTAAACTCCAAAATCTCCCCTCTCCATTGTCTTCTCTCTCTTCTCTCTCTTTATGTGCCTAAAAGCACAAATCTTTGTCTGAGGGGTCTGTGTACCCCAGTGATGACCTTCTTTCTTTCCTCCCCCCCCCACGTCACAAAATTTTGCTTTGACTTGTGACCAAGCTTTGAGATACGATCAGGAAAAAGGCAGAGAATTTAAACTGCTAACCGTTGGTCTGCAAAGAGGCTGCTTCTCTGTAGCTCCTTCGCCACCCAGCGGTTAGTGCATGTGTGTTAGCAGAGAGGCTTTGTACTGCCTGGTAGTGGCTCCTAGAGTTTGGGCTGGGTGGGGATGGGTTTTGCAGTGTGTTTTTTAGTCTCTGCTGGAACGGGTTTGTTTGATTCTGTGGCTCCTAGAGTTTGGGCTGGGGGGGTATTTCTGTGCTGTTCTGCTGTTCCATTCTGCTGGAACGGGTTTGTTTGATTCTGTGGCTCCTAGAGTTTGGGCTGGGTGGGGAGATTATGATGGGTTTTGCAGTGTTTTTTAGTCCCTGCTGGAACCGGTTTGTTTGATTCAGGGGTTATGTTTCCGTGCTTTGATGGGTCTTGCAGTTGTAGCATTTGTAGTCCCTGCTGGAATGGGTGGGTTTTTTTTTTTTGTTTTAAACTCCAAACTCTCCCCCCTCCATTGTCTTCTCTCTCTCCTCTCTCTTTTTGTGCCTAAAAGCACAAATCTTTGTCTGAGGGGTCTGTGTACCCCAGTGATGACCTTCTTTCTTTCCTTCGCCCCCATTGTTCCCTCCCTCCTTTCCTGGCCTTTTTTCTAACCTTTATAAACAGCCCGAACAGATTAATTGTGTTTCAATGTACTCCTATGGGAAATGGTGCTTTGAGTTACGACCAAATTGAGTTACTACCATCATTCTGGAACGGATTAAGTTCGCAACTTAAGGCACCACTGTACAAAAGAATTGCCATAACTTCTTAAACTTCAGATACTTCAAATATAGTAAAGATATATTACTTCAGGTGATCCTGCCACAATAGCTAGTGAAACTATTGTAGTAGATTACCTATTACATACCATACCTTTATAAACCAAAGTAGTTCTTCAAGCACTCCCTTCCAAAATACCCTTTTCGTTGTTAGCAATGGAAAATTATCTGAAAATACATGTTAGAACTGTTAAAGCAAATAAGAAAACACAAACGTATGAGAACATTTCCTAGTACAGTGGTGCCTCGCAAGACGATGTTAATTCGTTCCATGAAAAACGTCATTTTGTGAAAACATTGTCTTGCGAAATGTGGTTCCCCATAGGAATGCATTGAAATCTGATTAATGTGTTCCAATGGGGGGGGGGATCGTCTTGTGGAAAAAAAGGCTTGCGAAACGCGGTTTCCCGTAGAAATGCATTGGAATCACCCCAGTGATGACCTTCTTTCTTTCCTCCCCCCCCCACTGTTCCCTCCCTCCTTTCCTGGCCTTTTTTCTAACCTTTATAAACAGCCCGAACAGATTAATTGTGTTTCAATGTATTCCTATGGGAAATGGTGCTTTGAGTTACGACCAAATTGAGTTACTACCATCATTCTGGAACGGATTAAGTTCGCAACTTAAGGCACCACTGTACAAAAGAATTGCCATAACTTCTTAAACTTCAGATACTTCAAATATAGTAAAGATATATTACTTCAGGTGATCCTGCCACAATAGCTAGTGAAACTATTGTAGTAGATTACCTATTACATACCATACCTTTATAAACCAAAGTAGTTCTTCAAGCACTCCCTTCCAAAATACCCTTTTCGTTGTTAGCAATGGAAAATTATCTGAAAATACATGTTAGAACTGTTAAAGCAAATAAGAAAACACAAACGTATGAGAACATTTCCTAGTACAGTGGTGCCTCGCAAGACGATGTTAATTCGTTCCATGAAAAACGTCATTTTGTGAAAACATTTGGAATCCTCGCTGAACGGGTAAGTAACAAAGGTATTGGAACGCATTAAACGAAGTTTAATGCGTTTCAATACATTTCCCCTACCCGTTTAGCGACGATTTCACATAGCGAGGGTTAATCCGGAACGGATTAACCTCACTATGCGGGGCACCACTGTACAATGAAATTCAGACACCCAGAGACCAGACACATGCACACACGTAAAATTCCCCAAACACTCCCCACCCACTAAAAAATCCCCCACACTCACCACCCACTAAATATTTTTAAATGGGCTTCCCCATTCCGTTTAGCGAAGTTTTCACATAGCGAAGGTTAATCCGGAACGGATTAACCTTGCTATGCGGGGCATCATTGTATTATTGTATGGAAGTTCCAAATGGGCACAAAACTCACCGTTTAGCGAAGTTTCGAGGGTCCGGCAGCCATTTTTGCGCCCTTGGTAAGCGAGGGGAGGGCGCAAAAATGCTGCACGTGGCCATTTTGGGCGTCCGGCGGCCATTTTGAAACTGCCGAACAGCGTGCTCATTAAGCGAGGCACCACTGTAATGCATTCCTATGGGCAAAAAAGTCAGAACAAAGTCAAATAAAAAACTGTATAAATATAGAAAAATATTCGTCTTGTGAAAAAGCGTCCTTTAAAAAATTGTCTTGCAAGTCGCGGACCCAACTGTCAAAAACAGTCTTGTGAAAAAGCGTCCCTAAAAAAAATCATCTTGCAAGTCATGGACTCAAACATCGTCTTGTGAAAATCGTCCATAGGAAAAAAACGTCTTGCGAAGCGCAACAGCAATCGCAAAAACCAATAGTCTTGCGGATTGTCCCGCGAGGCACCACTGTATTAATCAGGAGAGAGAGGTATTAGCACTAAACAAATACAGTGGTGCCTCGCATAACGAGCGCACCGTTTAACCACGAATCCGCACAGCGGTCTAATTTTTTAGATCGCTAATGCGATCGCATTGCAATGTTTTAATGGGCAAAACATTGCATTGCGATGATCGGTAAGCATTTCGCTTACCGATCTTCGCATTGCGATGTTTTTTAAACAGCTGACCGGCGGTTCCAAAATGGCCGCCGGGTGCCCTAAATGGCCGCCGCAACCATTTTCGAGCGGTTTCCTCGCTTACCGAGGGCACAAAAATGGCGGCGCTATGGAGGATCTTCGCTGAACAGTGAGTTTGGGCCCCATAGGAACGCATTAAACAAAGTTTAATGCATTCCTATGGGTTTTTCCATTCCGTTTAGCGATGTTTTCACATAGCAACGATTAATCCCGAACGGATTAACGTCGCTATGCGGGGCACCACTGTAGTCAGTTCTTACAGCAATTCTTTCTGCAAAATACTATCTACACTTCTATTTTATCGGGTGGCTGTTTCCCTTACAGCAAACATCTCTCTTACTTATTTTACTCTCATAGCTTCATATTATAGTGGATAATACTTGTTACCATAACTGTAATAACAAACCACATGCTTAAAATATTAAACTACCTTCTTAGTAATCATCATCATCATTTGCCAGCAAGTCAATTCTGACTTATAGTCCTTTTCAGTTTTTTCCAGGTAGATAATATTCAGAAGTGGTTTACCACTCCTTTCTTCTGGAAGTGCCCTGAGACTATGCAGCTTGCCCAAGGCCACACAGGCTGGCTCTACTCGCAGGAGGCATCGTGAGGAATAAAACTCCCAACCTCTGGCTATGCTGCAAGATACCAAACATGGGGCATGTTCCTACTGCAGGAATAAACCGGCAGAGGGATAAGCACTTTTTAAAAATTCGGGCTAAAGTCACATGGACTTCAGCCAGAATTCAAAACTTTTGTGGCACGATGTGCATCCTCATCACCACAACCTCCTCCTCCTCGGGTTTCCTGCTGTGACCACTATTGCCACAACCATCTCTGCTTAGGTGGGTCCACCAGAATGTGGGGGGGCAGAAAAGGTGGAAAGAACAGAAAGGGGAGGAGGATGAGAGGGGTGGAAATGAAAATAAGGGCATGGGGTGAGGGTGGCAGGGCATGGGGACATGTACCTGAGGGGTGCGCTAGCAAGGGGGCGGCGAGGGCAAGCAAATTTGCTTGATACGGGACTAGGCAGGCAAGCGACGTGCAACCCGGTGGGTAAGGAAGTGACCGGGCAAGCAAAGGGGGCAAGTATGAGGGCAATGGGGAGGGGAAACTCAGGGGGACAACCCTGCAGGGACAAGTGACCAAACGGAATGAGTAGATGGATGCATGCCAACTTTTTTTAAAATCCTGCTATCTGGTATAGCGCTGCATCAGACAGCAGGATTTTTTAAAGTGCATGTGTGTTCACATATGCAGAATTTTATTCCAAAATAGATCTCCAACAGAGGAGCAGAAAAACTTGCTCCCCCGACACAGTATTCTGCACATGCACATACCTAGTGTGTATGCTAAAATTTTAGTCATTTTAAAAAAAATTTAGAACCAGGTACAATAGAGGCTTTTGTTGTCAGTGGGCTTGCGTCCTCGTTGAGAAATCCAGCCAGCTAAGTAACCTTCTTAAGTAAGCTGTAATATAAACCTGCTGATCACCCAGCACTTAAGCCATTCCTGGTCCTATTAGTCCTATGCCAACTATGGGGCAAATGTGGCTTTCCAGATGTTGTTGGGCTACAACACCCACACTCATTCCCATTGGCTATGTTGATAATGGCTGATAGGACTCGCAATGCAAAAACATAGGGAGAGCTACTGTTTCCCAATTCTTCTGTACAGCACACAAATGACAAACACCAATTATGGATCCTCATCAAAATGAAACAGAAGTGGAAGATCTTGACAGGTTAACAGTAACTTCAAGAATAAAAACACGGTGTAAAAATATTCTGGGGAAGAATACCCCAAAAACAAGCCATTGAGGACAAGCATGCTGATGCTTCACCATGCAAAATCTTGAGATTTAAAAAAAAACATGGATAACTCGTGGGAGGTTTCTGGAAGCCACCCTGGACAGGTGGAGCCCTGTGCACTCCCTTGAATAACTTATTGTGACGCTTCAAAATCACAACCTAAATATTTTCTCCATGCTTTAATTTCTTACAGTGGTTTTTTTTTAATTTGCAATATTCTGGGAATCTGACATTGAATCAGATGGTGAGTTGTTGTTTTGGGAAAGCACAGTCGCCTTTGCAATGCTTTGCCTCGAAAAGAGAAATAAATAAACCACAATTAGTCAAGTTACGATCTTGGGAAGTCACGCCTAAACTCAAGCCCTTGTGCAGTCGCCTCCCGCCACTTCCCTTCCCTTTGGCTTGGACTCGCTCCAAATCTTGGGCTTTGGAAACGTTGTGTTCCTGACATGCAACTTGCGAAGTAACTTGGACAAGTAATCTCAAAATGTGAGGAAGGTGCGATGGGAGCTAGTCGCGCGAACACGTTGACGAACAGAAATATACGTGCACACCCCACTTTCCGGATCAGCAAATTTGGGGTTTTGGCGGGAATCTCTTGCTTCTTTCTCTGGCGGCAGCTCTTGCTATTGGCGGTTGTGTCAGTTCCTCCGCCTCCCCCCCCGGTTCCCGCCATCCCTGCCCAGACAATGACTTCTAAATATAAAAACTATTTGGGGAAATAAGTATAATATTTAAGACTTTGCTATAATAGGCTGTGATTTTTATCTGGCTGAGTTCCCCCCCGCCCATTGTTGCCTTAGCAATTGCAGCGTCGCACACCGTGTAACCGGATAGATGCTGCTTGCTTTTTTCCCCCCCTCCAAACAAGCAAGCCTCAAAACAGGCAAACAAACCCCTGGAAGCAAATTCGGTGGGGAAAAAAGGGGAGGGCTTTACCCCCGAGGCTGTAGCGCGCTTGCATTCCGAAGACCGAGAGGGTCCCGATCCCGGTCCGGTCCTCCTTTCTGTGTCCGAACCGCAGGATGTGCTCCACTTGCTGCAGGTACTGAAGCTCCCCGTGAGGAGGCGAGGCGACCGGGAAGGGGTCCTCCTGAGGAAGCGCCGGACTCCCCTCTGCGGGCATGGCAGACACGAAAGGGAAGAAAGGCACCCGACCTTCTCCCGCACTTGCAGACGCTCCCGCTCGCCCGCGGAATGTCAAAAGTTTGGAATTGGCGCGCTCCAGAGCCCCCGCCCCCTTTTTTTCCCCTGCCGAGAGATCAAGAGGCGGGCACTGCTGCCCATCCTGGATTGTTACTGGCTGGGAAATCCTGTCCTTTAACTTCCATCACCCGTGGCCGGAAGGTCTTCTGAGGGGCGGGCTCAGTACAGCCTTTTAGCCTGTCGACAGTCCTGTGAGAAGGGAAAGGCGGAGTGGCCGCGGAATATATTCATGGTCGTTGTAGTAGGAGGAGGACGAGCAGAGGTGTTAGTCTGTGCGGGCCTTATATGTAGAAGCAAAATAGAAATTTTTTTTGAAAAAAGGCAAAAACGTGCTGGCATCTTAAAGATTAACTTATATTTTTTTTAATGTGAGCTTTCGTGGACAAGTCCACTTCACCAGTCCTTTAAGGGGCCACCATGTTTTTGTTCTTTTTTTTTTAACTTGTTATTTCTGTGTTGCTTTTGCCTTGAATATTCCTAGTCCCAGGATTTTCGGAGTTGTAGCGTGTGAGAATTTCAACAAAAAAACCCAAAACAAAAGCAAGAACACATTGTGACACTTTAAAAACTAATTGCTGTAAAATGTAAATTTCTGGTGAACATTGTCTATATGTTAAGACGTGTGAAAATGCAGTTTGCTTGGATTTCGAACCTATTACAGTAATGATTTATGACCCCTGTTTGGTATTCAGTTCTGTCCTTTTGTTGGTTTTAATGGCGTTACGAGTTTTAATTCAGTGTTATTGATGCCATTGCCTGTAACACGTCTAACTATTGCTTGTCAGAATGCTCTTGATTACACCCGAGTTGCCTGCAATATACTTTGTGTTAAAAAAAAGTGTGTATCCTGCCATTTCGTTTTAGTGGAACCTGCACCCTGACAGGGCGTGGACTGCTCTCCTTTTTGGGTCCAATCCTGTCTTCTTCAAGGTTACTCCATTCCAGCTCCACTACCCAGCTTTTCATCTCACCCTACACAACCATCAGTAGTCTGCATTCCTTGAGCATACCCACTGCTCACTGGAGTTCCCTTCTCCATCCTGAGGTACAGTGTTTTATTTCTATAACCACATTTTTTGTTTTTTTCTTCCACATACATTGGGCTTTTCATAAGTGCACTGGTACTGTATCTTCTCCTTATGCAGAAATTGTATATTGAGCAATATCTGGCAAAAATTTTGATTACTTTAGCATATGAGACAATTACAACAAAATATCAACTAGATTTATAATATAGTTACTATCTCATATTTTCATGGTAAGTCATCTTAATTGTTTTTTGCAGTATTTTAACAAGCAGATAAAATAGACATGTAATAGTGTGATCGGGTTTGTCATATATCTAGAGCAGTTCCTCTTTTGGCAAGAAATAACGAGGGAGTCTCTTTTTGAACATTAACAGATTTATTGATCTTAACATTTGGAGAATCGACAATTACTTCAACTGGTTCAAATAAACGAGTATCTGGCAACTGCCCATACTGAGGGGACAACATTTCTGTCTTTGAACTGAGGATTTAAGAAGGGTCTGGTCCAAACCATTTGCGATCCGTGGGCTTCCTCATGGGTGTACTCCTCACTGTGCAGATGGTTCCACAACAGGGGTGTCTGGCTCAGTCGCCCTCCAGAAGTGGGTTGTTGAATGAGGAGTCCGGCCGGACCACCTTCTTCCAGCGACCTTGACCTCGCGGATACACCCCTACCGTCCATTCTAGAGAGTCCACTTGTGTCTCCTTTCCTTTGGAGATGTCCGGATTTGGTAACAACCCTCCGGTCTTCAGATTGGAAAAATCTTCCAATAGTCCTCTCATTCTCTCATATTCGGCTTCTTTCTTCTCCCATTCTACTTTCTCCCCTCTCCTCTCTGATGTTCCCGGTATTCTCAATTGTCTCCTCCCATTCTGATCTTTTATATCTTCCTCCCGTACAGGTAAAATCAACTCCTCCCCTCTTTTTCTCCTCTACCAAGCAAATCTCAATCTTTTCCTCTTTCTCCTTCAGTTCCCTCTTCACTTCCCCCACATTTACCCCTTTGTAGTCTAATGTCTCCCACTCTCTCCACTTCATCTCTTGCAGATGTCTCTTGTTGAGAGGACGGCTCACTCTCCGCTTTTTCTTTTTTCTCTATCTCTATTTCACAAATAATCAAAGGCAGCTGCTACTGAAGGACATCCACAGAAAGCAGTGATAAGACAGTGGTTTGCAGTGAGAACACAGGAGGTGTGAGCAGGTGATTTGCAGGCTTTGATCCTTGTGAATCCAAAATTCCCTTGCTCTTCCTACATACCCTGAACTCATGCCTCTGAAGCCGGTGTTTGTTCATGTCTCTCCCATGGATTTCAAAAAAAGGGGAAAGTTGTTCTTTTCAATCTAGTTAAAACATCACCTCCCAGCCTGACCAGCATGGCTTGGGAAATGGCAGTTTATCCAGCAGTGCCAGATACCTCCTCATACCTCTAGGAAAGACAGTAAGAAATATAAGCTTATAATTAGAACAAGGAAATCCTTAAGGGCTAGTAGTGTTTTAGTGTCACAACAGGAGTTTTATATCCTAGAGTTTGCAGATTAGCTTAGTTTTGTGATTAGTTTGGAATTTAAGCATGGGATTACTTTGAAGTCTACTTTCTCAAACAGGAAAGACTTGCCTCAACCCTCTATCTAGTACTAACATGTTTTCTAATATAATTACAGGCTATCGGTAATGCCTATTTCTGGCTTAATATTCCAGCTCTAAATGTGTTTCAAGGAAACATCATTAATACTGGCTCCCTTCCTTCACTTTCATCTGTCAAAGATTGCCAACACTCTATAGAACAGAGAGAGGCATGAAAGGCATTATCACCCCATTGGCTCTACTGAAAGATCGGCTGTGTTTGTTTCACATTCTCCCAACACTTTTTCTATCCCAGTTGCTCATTATAAAAATGTCTGTGGATCTCTAAGTGTTGTTGCCTAAGTTTGTTGTCCCTTTCTTTCTTATCTTATTTTTACTTTTGTATCCTGATAGTATATAAGCAGAATTTGTTTTTTATTTATCTTACATAGGCTGCTCTGGGAACTTTTTTGACTAAAGAACAGAGTGAAAATACCTTCAAGAAACATGTTCAAAAGGAATTTCTGGTCACTCGGCCCAGGAGCAACAATCTCTGAAAACTCACATATAAGGAGCCTCATGGCACAGTGGTTAAACTGCTGTACTGCAGTCAAAACTGCTCACAACCTGGGGTTCAATCCCAGGTAGCTGGCTCGAGGTTGACTCAGCCTTCTATCCTTCCAAGGTCTGTAAAATGAGTACCCAGCTCGTGGGGGGGGAGGGGAATGTGTAGTCTGCATAATTAAATTGTAAACTGCCCAGAGAGTGCAGTAAGCACTATGTGGCGGTATATAAGCAGCACACTTTGCTTTATATTGCCTATATATGAAGTATGTCTCCTCGAATACTCATAGCAACACCTTTTTGCCATTAGATTGTCCTTTTCTCCCATATCAAGAATGGACTACAACTATACTTTAAGTGAACAAACCTGTCAAAAAATTTTCAGAGTGAGTAAAAAAGGTTTATTTTACTTCACTGACAGTCCTCCAGACTTTGTACCTGATAATTTTCCCCCAAATTTAATTATCCTGATCATCCAGAGCAGTTTGAATATGTGCCATGGGGCTGAGGAAAAGGTAGACACAAAATAAAGCAGGTTCCACAGCTGGGGCACTCATGCAGGACTGGCTAGAATAATTAATAAATGAAACTTATATATCAGAGTCTGCGAGAGTCTGTGACTAAATTTTAAAATAATCTTACTAACAACTTATCATCACCATAGCCAACATAATGTGTTGTACCCAGTGGTATCATTCTGTTAGAGCTGCTTGTGTAGGCCCTATTTCCATTCTCAGATCCAGCATTTTGGTTCCATTTGCATAAGGACTTGCACAAGCAATTACAGAACCTTTCAGAATGTTTTGTGGTTTCATTTATGCTAGGTGTTGCTTGTGCTGCTTGCATTAGTTGTTTTTAGCACTTGAGCAATGAGACATCTTAGGGTTTTTTCCTACAGAAATGCCATGTGTTCTGTTTTTTCTTTTCTTTAAGTGTTATGTTGGCTAAAATCCCAAATTATCCTGTCCTTTGAACACACAAATCAAATGCAGAGATGACACATTCACAGATGGACTCAATCACAGCAACTATATCTCTTTACATCTTGCTTATTACAAGTGAATAGGCATGAGGATTAAGAAGATACATTCATTGTAATATTTAGCACATTGTTTTAAAACATTTTCTGATCTGCGGGTCTCTTCTGTAAGTTGAATTTTCACATACTTTGCTAAAGGAAAATATGCTGGATTTAAAGTAGATTGCATGTTTTAGATTTTCTTCCCTAGAGAAATAAAAAGAACATTTTTTTAACATTGTGGGTAAAGTTGAAGAACAATTTTAAAACAAATCTTTTAAAGTAAATAATGCCACGTATGGATGCATGCCTTAGCAACAGGGCAAGCCTTTATCATAACTCATTAGGCATTTGCACCAAATTCCTAACAAGTGGATTTTAAATATTTAAAAGGTAGAGAATGAAATAAACCTTTTATTCTAATTATCTCTACTTCCATTCAAAGTTTCAGGCTTTAATTTCAGGTATTTAAAAAACTAATGTACAGTGCTAACTACACCATTCTGCAATGCATTCTACTCACATAGGATCTATACATTCCCTTGCTACCAATAATTTCTTGGTCATGCTAAAAACTAAAAGACAATTGTCTGAGTGCCGATGTTAATCCATACCTCCTCAAAAGAACACCATCCACACATAAAGGAAGGTATCAACAAACCTGAAGGGAAATCTCAAGGTTTGCTGAAGTACAACCCTCTCTCGAAACTCCAAAATACTCCATGAGGACAAAATGAACTAAAAGTTGGGCATGGAGTGCTGACTGAATTTTGGAGAGCAGAGAAAAGAAAGCTAGGGATGAGAAAAAAATGGGACAGAGCATTGTAAAAGAGGGCAGACATTTCATACTGCTGAAATTTTGTAGCAGTTTCCATTTTCCTATACTAATAGTAAACTTAGGTGCAGGCTTATAGCAGCAGCTATGTAGCTGAAGTAGGGCTACAGAAACAGTTAACAGCATGCCTGTGGAAATCTTAAGGTCTACAGAAATGAGCAGGATGGGTACAGTGTTGTTGGGGAACCAAAAAACAAAAAGCTCTGATAAGGTTGAATATGCTCAGGGGCTACATACGTAACAAAAAGGGAAAAAAAGGAACTGGATCAGGAAGGAGATGGAATGGAGAGAGATGGATGTCCTGACTGGTTGACTGGAATGACAGGAGTGTTCTGCCCAGCGACATATTCTTGCAGGTACCACTTGTAAACTGCAGGCATTTTGTAATTTTTGTCAGTTTTATTGTTCTAGTAGTGGGAAATACCAACTCCCAGAGCTTGTTCTTTTTGCACAAAAGTTATCTTTTTCCACAATTCCTCCCCCCATCCATTCCTCCCTCACACAGAAATTCAAAACTTCAGTTTGAGAAATTTTCTATACTGCACATAGGGCTTTTGCCATAGCATGTTCTCACTCTGGACTAAGGTGGTCATCTATACTGTCCTACCAAATGAGAAGGAAAATTTGTGTTAACACATAATTGAATTGTGGCTGGAACACCTATTCAGAGTAATGTAAACTTTTTAAAGGGGTGGAAATCAAATCTGGCTAGGTGCAGTATAGAGAGCTTACCAAAACAAATTGTTAAATATATCAAACAATCAACTTACCATGCTAGAAATTTTTTCTATAAAGCTGTAAAGCTTTCTCAGCAACATATTCAACAAAGTCAGCACTCTCAGTGTCTAGATCCTGCGGCACCTTAATTGTAAAAGTAGGTGAGGTCAAAATATTCACATCTACCACTGTTTCATTCAGACTGGAAGTTTCACCTCCTTTGGCACTTGATGACACCTGATGGGAATACAGACTGGAGTGAGCAAAGAAATTAACAAATAGAGAAGTGGCCAGTTTCTTTGAACATACCGAAAACTTCATTGCAAAAGAACATCTGCAGCCACTGCAATGATGCACAATGGGTGATACACACACAATAACACCACTTGTCGTTTGTTTTTAACTTTGTATACAAGCATCACCTAAGGTAATTATTGGAACTGTCTACTGGGGAAAACACTGTATGACTTCAGCTTTATATGTCATACACCCTAAGTGGAAATAGGACTCATAATATTCCATTTACTTTGAGCTCTGACCTTGTTACATTGATCTAAACAAGATGTAGGCCGGTCACAAGCAAAACTCTCTTCATCTGGAGAAGTAATGTGCGGTCACTCAAACCCATTAGTGCCATTTCACTCCTGACAGATGGCGATCCAGGTCAGTTATCCATCACACTAAAAGGATTTAGAGTAGGCTCTGGAGTTTCAAATCATCAAGGGATTATCATGTTTACTTAAAATCTACCTCCATAAAAGCATAGTATTTTTAAAGAACAAAATAACAGATACACCTATTTCCCCAAGGTAATCCAGATGTGGCTTATGTCCGTGAAATGGAAAGAGCAGAGATACCACTGTGCAGTGGCTACTTGTATTTTTAATGTATGGCATTTACCTTTACTATATTGAAAATGTTTTCAGGTCCAATGGTCATATTGGATAGCTCGGATACCCATCCAAACCTTTGTTTCATTTTATTCAACAAGTAGGATGTGTCTTCTGTGTGACGTTGGACCATGTGGATAATTTGTTGGTACTGGTCATCAGAGATGTTAACCAGCTTATAAGCATCATCATACTTGATATGTAATTCGGGGACATTAGGGCAAACTGCAAAGAACCAAATAATATTTGAAATGCATCCTTAGAAACCTTAAGATATTCTCTAATCCATGTCTTCAAACAAACAAAACATTGTGTCCTTGTTGCTTTTCTTTTGGTTTGGCGTAACCAGAAAGAGGAATTCATGTAAGAAAAGTGTGAAATGTGTGTAGATTACAAACATGAGATAATCTGATCTATAATGAACAGTTTAAACTCAGCTAACAGAGCAGAGGAAATGCAATCAAACTTAATTATGACTTCCTACGCACACCAACCGAGTTAGCTGGTAAACATGCAAAGAAAGATTCCAGGACAGCCCCAGTTCTTGGAGTGATGAGAATGTCTAGTGGTGCAGCATTTACTTCAGTTGTGGTTTTTCTTTTGTAATGAGGGAACTGCAGGCTTCCTGGAATTTCCCAGTTTGATCATGTTCTTACAGCACATAAACACAAAATTGGAAAAGATCCTGAGAAGACATGCCCCTTGACTATCAGTTCCACCATTATTTTAATAGGGCATTTTACACACATGTTTATTACACAGAACCCTTCCATTGATTCTAATATTTGATACATAATTTTTTAGTGGTGGGATCAGCGAACCTTGTCAGCTTGTACACCTGCACAGGAAGAAAGGGTTTTTGCTACTTCCCTCACTAAGCAAACTTCAATAGGAAATCAGTTTTTTCTTTAGGAACCTCAGCAAGACAAACAGAAATCAAGTACAATACATAGGAGAGAATCATTTCACTCTGCTTAGCGACCGTCATGTAACAAAGTAAAAAATACATCATGGGGATTTGTGATTGAGAATACAGAAATGCACAGAGAATTCATTAAAATAATGAAACTGAGCAATTTACCTTGCATAAGGTCATTCTGACATTTGTGGCATTTCTCATGAAACTGTGGACACCCTGATGAATTCTGGTGCAGCTGACTGCAAGGAGTTCTTTCATGTCCTAGTATATTCTTTGAGAACATTCCACTTTTGTTGGACTCTGGAGTGAACATACACAGTGTCATAAACATACATAGAATGTGCTACTTGAATGAGATTTTAAATGCCATTAATTTAAAAATAATATTGTCTTTAACCCCAAAGGAAATGTGAAAGTAGCTTCTTAAAATCAGCAGATATATTTCTGAGGGCCAAACTAGGCTGACAGTTGGGCAGTTCAGAAATACTTAAATGTGGAACTACTGTAATTGGGTACAAAGAGTGTTGGAAAATATCAGCATTTGCAAGGTGTACTTTTTATATTTCTTGTAATATCCGGTATCAGAGTCCTGGCAGATAGTGAAAAAACATGTTTGCAAAGAGGTGCAGTGAAAAACAGGAACATGGACACTCCTCATTCAAGTTACAAACCTTTCTCTCCCCAAAGCACCCAGCTAAGAACCACACTACACATGTCTGTAAGTATCTAAAGAGGCTTAACCCAGTACAGCAGCATAATGCATTACATTGGAGTGCCATTGCAATGATTACCAGTCTGATACCAGCCTGTGAAGCTGATATGCTGTTTAAAATTGCCTGGGTTTAAAGAATCAGTTCCACTGATATTAAAATGTAAGATAAAGAGTGTGGACTTTACATGCCTTCCATTTTTTCTGCCAGCTCTCTTGCACTCTCTTGATACCCTTCAAATGCCTCAGTAATCACTTCCCCCACACCTTCCAGGACTGCTTTGCTGAAATCAAAAACTAGCTGTAAGAAGCCTGGTCCCTCCCGGTCTCTTGGGGTGCCAGGATTTCTTGTAGATTCCTCTGGGAAAGCTGGTAAAAAATAGGGTTCTGTTAAGTCTGGCTCGGACATAAAGTATGTTTGGAAAGACTGGTCAAACTCTTTTTGCATGTGTTTGAAAAAAAGGACACTTTTTTCAAAGATGGTGCCCATGTCAGACAACAGCTGGTTAAACAAATTTTCCATTTGTACAAGCTGGGCATTCTCTTCATAGGGCTTTTGGTTTAACTGGATGTCTTTTCCCTTAGCCTCAGACATAGGAAGTGATAATGGAGTAAGTTTCCTGAAAAAATCTTCAACCTGCAAACAGGGGAGAAAAATTATTCAATTACCATCCAGTAGACATTGTCCAGACAGAAAGTTTCAAACATACATGTACTGAAACACACTCCAAACCTTTAAACAGCTTCATGCTCTATAACTGTTTTGAACTACAGGGCCCATAATCCCATTACAAGCAGTATTTATGGTTGTTTACAGGCCATATAAATCCCACTGTATGCAGTGAAGATGGTCCCCTTCAGATGATGGCTGGGAACTTCTGGGAGTTATAGCCCCAAAAAGTAATTTCTTCAATAATCCAAATATATTTAGGAATGCAGTCTTGATCAAGCTATTTAGACACCTAAGGTAAAGTTCTGCACATAGGAAGACTGTATTATATGTAGAAATGATGGCTTTGCGAAAATGTGTATATACTTGCTTATGTTTTATGCTTTGCTTCTGCTAATCAGAGGAAAGATCAAAGAGTTCTACAAAAAGTCTGGAAATTTTTAGCTCTTTGGCTACTCCAAGAATTCTCAAACCAATTGTCATGCTGATTGGGGAATTCTGGGAACTGTTGTCCAAAAAAGTAACATTTTCAGAATATTGTTTTACAAGCCACTGGGATCCTACTTCTAATCAAGGAAGGCCTATTTAACTCCTTTGGCAATATAGGCAATATCTTGCTAGAATCCTATTGATGTTCATGTAAGAATCCAATTGATGTTCATGTGAGATCTGCATTATGGTTAACTGGTGTTGTACCAAGGTACATCTCAGTTGTGCAACTGAATTGCAACCAAGGATGCAAATGAAGCATGCTCTGGCATCTCATCAGTTAGATGCAAATAGGTATGGCAAATTATTGAAGCATTATGCAAACACCAATAGGATTCTGGCCACAATTTAGTATATGTTTTTGCTACTTTAAAAAAGGAGATAGATTGAAAGAGAAAAATAAATAGAAAGATGAAATACATAGGATAATATGTTATTTTCCTACTGATTTGCAGGAATGTAGAATTAACAAAGGACTGGCCATTAGCAGAATATAGTCATATAGCTGCTCACTTTTCACACACACCTTACCTTCCTTGTAAATGTGGACAGACCATGGCGACAAGTGGTATAAAACCTCATGCAGTTACTTTCTAGACAAGATTTGCATTCATCCCATGTATTTTTCAAAGAGCCCTGGCATATGTTTTCCTCTTCTTCCAGTCTTTCTTTCACTTCATTCATAAGTCTCAAAGCCTCCTGACAAAATAATTAGTTGTCATGTATGAACCACATTTTTATATAAGAGTTATTGATTTTGGAATACAAATCAGCATTTCACAACATGTGCCTCAGCAAAATTAGAAATTATTTTTCTACAATGTTTGTGTCCTATACTTAAATTTGATTGATCTTAGGACACATACAATGTTTTCTTTAATTAGCCCCAAGAATATTTTCAGCATTTTACAAAATTCAAGGAGAGTGTCCACTTTCACATTTTTACTATGTTGTAACTGAAATGGGATCCTGTAACAAATGTCATGGCCGTAGGAAGAATGAAATGAAAAAGAAAAGAAAATTTCCTCTCCATCATCTTCCTTTTCCACTCTTCATCCACACTCCCTGGCTTTATAAAACAAATGCAAGATGTCTTACATTGATTTTCAAATAACTTATATCCCCAGCTCTACCTTTGCATGCCAGACCTTAGACACATAAGTGTGGACCCACGACATTTTGGATGGAAATCATTTGGTCTTTACAGCTAAGTCCCGTAGTGTTTTAGGCTATTCCCTTGAAAACTGATTGGGAACTTGTTTTAGGATAAGTGGGTGAAAAAGCAAGGCAAGTTCATTCCCTAAGTTCAAAGACATTCAAAATCCCACATATATCCCTGGCAAAACCAGGGGTAAAATGTGTTCCATTCAGCCATCTAAACCATGAAGTGCATAGCATTCTCCCACATTCTCCTTAATACTGAGTAGAAAAGGGCTATAAGCAACAGTGAAAGGTGTAATGATAAGAATGAACCAAATTCCCCACAGCCCATAAATCTGAGGCTTTGCAAATGGGGATCTGTGCCCACACAGCAGGATTTTGCAATGGGGACATGTACAGTTTAGGGCAGGGTAAGCAACCTGATATTCTCAAGATGTTTTACACTACAAATCCCACAATCCTTTATTGTTGTCTGTGGTGGTTTTATCTTATGAGAGTCATAGCCCTAAATTTCTGGATATTGCCACCATGTTACTTGCAGTTGTTTTTTTGGAGGGAGGGGAAGGCAAGGTTTTTAAAAGCAAACTACAATGGTTTTGTTTTTTGTTTTTTGTTTTTTGCATATTGTGGCACTCCATCCCTCCCCATCTCCCATGTTTCTCATGGAAGTTTGGGTGGTCAAATCCAAATCAAAGTAGGGGGAGGATAAGAGTTTCGATCCACATTGATCCATCAGTCCAAGCCACACAGCTCATCTGGTTGGGCCCAGAGTCTACATAAGTGGTTCCCAGCCTTGGTTCCCCAGATGTTCCTGGACTGAAACTCCCAGAAGCCTTCACCACTAACTGTATTGACCGGGATTTCTGGGAGTTGTAGTCCAAGAATATCCAGGGATGCAAGGTTGGGAACCACTTATCTAGATCAAATGATGCTTTGCCCTTCTCTAATTACACCCCTGTGGACAGTCCATTAAAGAAGTAAGCTCCACTGTGTTCATAAAGCTTACTCCTCTGTAATTGGATATACGACTGTAGCTAATTATAGACCTCTCTATTTCCAAACCAGATGAAACAGAACTTAAATCGGACTTTAAAATGATTTTAGCAATTCCACTTCCCAGGTCACAAGAATAATGTTCAGTAAGTGACATACATATTTCTGAGAACACCTTTATTCCAGGACTAAAAAGGATTATTCCATACATTTCAGTTACAGCAGTAGTAACATGATGAAAACTATCAGGATATTACCTCTTTTTCCGCACTGCTCTTCTTTAAGGTTTTCATCAGGTCCACATGTTTGACTTCATTTTTTTCCATCATAATTTTCATCTGCTTAATGCCAATCAGAGCTTTCTTTACCTCTTCATCTACATATTTCTCTCCAACTTCAGATAACACTGAGAAGAAAATGCCATTTAAGTTTTGAATATAGTATAAGTTGTCATTTAAACACTGAATGGTTACCATACTCTAGTTATGAAAAGTATATAATAATGGGTTATTTACTTCTGCCTAAGAATTTATTATTTTTATATATTTTATTTAAAATATGTTTGCCCCACTTTCTTCTTTAAAAGGACATAAGGTGGCTTGCAGCATTAAAATACAATATTTAAAGCTTTAAAAAATGAGTATACAAATACAAAAAAGGATCAGTTACTACTCTGAGAAATTGTAAACAAAAGCAATACATTACTAAAAACACATTCAAATCAGTAATATATGACAAGATCAAAAATCTCCAATACTGAAAACACATTCAAAGCAGTAATATATGACAAGATCAAAAAGCTAAGTATATTTATACTCAGATACTCAAATTTAGTTTTGTTATTTGTCATATTATTTGATGCTTCTCAGCAGTCACACACATTGGCATATTTATTTTCAATTAAAATGATAGAATCTTGATTTTATGCAATACAAAATTTATAAAGTGTATTTTATTCATGAGTAAGCTATGACCATTTAGGAATTGCTCCTTGCAACAAAAGGCCTGCAGATTTCTATAGCAACTGGGGCTGCAACCACACTGGCAAGTCAAATAGCTCTGATTCAGTTTTGCTGTTATTTGATTTGCAGTCTGTATTACAGCTGATTGGCAGTCGGTGATCATACAGGGACTGTGCACTGATTTGGGAGTTCAGTGTTCACACTCAATGCTATGCAATTCACATTTCAGGCCACAGCCCCCCATTCTTTCTTTCCTTCCTCTGGTCCTGCCTCTGCCAATCCTTTTATGGTTCAGTGTCAAGCCACTTGGTTTTGAAAGAGTTGTACAGTATTTCATAAAAGGTGGCAGTGTTTCAAAATTATTTTTAATGTGTACAAAAATACTACATACCCCAGGAAAGTATTTTATTTTGTTAGAGTTGCTTCTGTTTTGTTCGTTTTTTAAAAAAATATCCACCAGAGGTGATTTTGCACTAAATTAGCTTATCAGCCCTAGTGATAAGTCAATAAGGTGATCTTGAACTAATTTCATATATGTACAATTTTTAAAAAATCCTGAGGACAGTTGGGGAGAAAGAACATTGTGGAGGGTATTCCCATGGTCCTGAAAATCACACCTCAGCTGCCTACATCACCAAAATATCACCCACAGAGATGTCATCCCATCTTTACAGAAATGAATACTGATCACATGGGGAAAAGCCTGTTCAAATTGTTCTGGCTTGAAAAAAAGTAGAGGCCCCCAGTAATAGAGACAAAACGCTGTGCTGGAGCAAAAAGGGCCAGACTGATTCAGATCAGCCTTTGTGTCATGTGATCAGAAAAAATTGTACTCTTAATAGACCCATACTATAACAGCAGCAAATCCCGCAATATTTGATTGTCTAGTCAAGCCCCAGTTAGGTCATTCTATCCAAATAATAGATGTCATGCAGAATTCTGATGTGGAACTTCCACTGATTCCCTTGTAATTGACAGCTCTGCGCCTATCTTTAGGATAGTAATCTTTCTCTTTACAGAGAAGAATCTCTTCCTTTATTTCAAGGGCATCCAGTGTTAAAGATAAAGAACCCAAAAAAGGGAATATAGTGACATTGCCTATTAACAATGGGCATCTGGGGAACAAAACTGAAGAAGCACATAAAATAACCTGTTCAATTTTCCCCAGGATAGTGGAGATATATGTATATAGCTATTACTTCTAAATTAGCACGTCTATAGCAGTCTATGAAAATATCATGCAAATCTCTGTTCTTTTTTGTCCTCTGTCTTGAAGATGCACAAGGGGCAGTCTAGCTATGTCTATATTTTAGGCCAGTATCCTATTGAGCATCTGCTGCATGGAAAGTCCTGCAAGCATAGTAATGTGGGGCCCTTTCCCTTCTGCAGGCATTGTGTCACTTTCTGTGAAACACAAATACAGGAGTAGGGGATGCCTTTATTAGACCACTCAAGAAATCATACATTCTGCTAACTTTCATGGATCAGCATCCCCACTTCATCAGACTTGCACCTATGTCTTGTCATTAATGCAAAGAACTTAAGAGTCTCAAAAGTTTAGTTAGGAAAGATGAAGAGTGCATTGGAGTTGTGGCTTTAAATTTACAGCTGAGGAAGCTGTTGATTGGATGTCACACTTCCATTCTTTAAACAAAGAAGCTCAGGCAATTCTTCTGCAAGGGGTAGGATTCTCCACACAGTGGAAGCTCAATAGCTCAACTCAATAGGTTCCATTAAATGAAAAGTCTTGCTAACATCAAGTCATACCATTTGTATAGGCAATGCTAGCATTAGTCTCCTAAAGAAGTTCTAATCCACAAAAATGCTTATGAGTGCAGTAGTATATATAAAGTGTGTTGCTTATATACCTCCCCATGGTGCTCAAAGCACTCTCTGGGTGGTTTACAAGTTAATTATGCACACTACATATTGCCCTCTCCCCCATAAGATGGGTACTCATTTTACCAACCTTGGAAGGCTGATTGAACCCTGAGCCAGCTACCTGGGATTGACCCTCAGGTCATGAGCACAGTTTTGGCTGCAGTATAGCAGTTTAACCACTGTGTCACAAGGCTCTTCGATAAAAGCTGCAGTTTAACCACTGTGCCACAAAGCTCTTCGATAAAAGCCACTATTAAATCTTTAAAAGATCTAGGTGACCGCTGTTCTCCATTACACAGCAGTCTGTAGGAGAGTTTGTACCTCAAATCCTCAGTTTATTTTTTATTCTAATGTACACAAAGAGGCACATTGTATTGTAACAGCATCCCAACATAGCATTATACAGCTTTTCTCTCGCACGCAAACATATACACACACACGTATTTTGCAGATATGCTTTTTCCAGCACAGAGCATGCATTTGTTATTACAAATGTAAAATGCAAATGGCATGGTCCGACATGCATTCATTTTGACCACTGTAATGACTGGATGATATAAGAATTATTCTAGCCATGTGTAATATTATCCTGATAACCGAACAACTTTGTCCGCATTTACAGTTTCCCATGTAATATTTGCACAGCAGTATAGACACACTGGTTTCCATCATGTGTTGCAGACTAGCCATGTGTAATATTATCCTGATAACTTTGTCCGCAGTTACAATTTCCCATGTAATATTTGCACAACAGTATAGACACACTGGTTTCCATCATGCGTTGCAGAATCCACATGGGCTAGAAGACACGAAGAACTGTGCTGGATCAGATCAAAAGCCTATCTTGACCCAGCAAGCTTGTGGAAGTGGGTGCCTATGGGACCCTCATTTGAGATTGGAATAAGCATAATATAATCAGATAGTACATATTATAGCAGCATTGTTGTTAATTAGTACAGTGTTAATTAGTATAATAATATATTGTATGTGTTTCTTCAAACAAAATAGCTGACAGCCTTTTACCGCAAGGCAGTAAAAGAGTAAAAGTGACCATTAATCCTTATTATTATCTTTGTCAGTCAAGACGTAATATTCATGTTAAATCTGAGGCTGCTTTGTGAGTCTAGCAGGCTGACAACCATCATAGAGGCAAGGCTCAGAGAGGGTTTATGTACCTTTTAAGTTTTCAACAAGATTTACATCTTCTTCCTCAATAGGTGCGCACTGATGTCCTCTCAGCCATAATAAATACACGAAGATGAGTAAAGATTTCATTTTCGCCATATTGAGTAATTACAGAAGACTATGTTCTGAGTTACAGTTTTCAGATGTACCTTAGACAGTAATCCAGATAGGAGGATTAAGAAAGAAATAGTATGTGTTAGTATAACATCTTTCTTCCCAGTATTAATAAATGTCCTGTAATCTATTTTTCTCTCAAAAGAGGCAATAGCTTAATCTGATTACTACTCTGCCAATACCCAAAGTGCTTTAGACAGTATATAGCACAACATTGGCACCAGCATAAAACCAGACATATGCACACACATGTACACACTGTTGAAGCAGCATGGCAGTAATGTTCAAAATTGTGCAAATTGCTCTCCCCCTCCATAATTTTAATGCATACTTTTCCTATTGATTACTTATTATGTAACAGTAAAAACAAAAACAACTGGATTCTTATTTGCTGATGGGAGATACGTCTTGCCAAATAGCATACTCAGTTTTTAATCCACTTAAATGAAGCAGTTCTTTCAGACTCTAATACTGCTTTCAGTGTTATTTTGAAATATCTAATAATATTACAAAATACACCTGGTGTAATCACCCTCCTACCCACATTAATGGCAAACTTCTGATTGCATTTCTTATCACCATAACATGCTCAAGAGCAATAAATTCACAGGTTAAATTCTTGTCATTTCCACAGATTTCAGTGCAAGAAATTCATGCCCGTGATTAATCTTTCCACTGAAATCAGTGATGAATTTGCCTGACTTGTGCCTCATAGTCTTTACTTTACTTTTCATGCCAATTTGCTTGGTGTTTAAGATCTTTATTTTCTGTAACTTGTTATCAGACAAATTCTTTATTGAAGGAAAAGTCACAGGATTCCTTCAGCTTCTTTTTAAAATAAATATACTGATTTTGTAATAACCGTAATAAAATTAATTACCACACAAACATACAGATATAGATTATTGATTTTAAAATCTAGGCCCAGGAATAGCAGATGGCCAGCACATTTCTTTTAAGAAAAGTACCATTTAGTAACAGAATCTCCAAGATACCATATTTACCACTAGCGCGGGTCTGTCCTCCTGCAAAACAGTTTCTGGCCTCAGAAAAGGACAAAGCTTTGTGCTGTTCTCATTTCCATGAGTGTCACAGATTTTGCCATGTAGTACTTATCTAATGACAAGGTACTTAATCCGATTAATGGGATGTTTTGTGATTAGACTTGGGGATTTCTCTCTCCAAGACATATCTGTGCTTGAGTCTAAAAATAAACACTAGAGGGAGCATATGACACAACTGTGAGAAAACGGAACTCTATCTTCTAGCATTGAGAGTATTAGGTATTCACTGTCAATGGACTGTGGAACTGCTGTTTTTAAAGCCAGCAATAAAACAAAAAGAATGCAACAGATCTTTCCTTCAGAGCCCTTTGAAGTTCTCATCTATATAATTTCAAACTGACAAAACTTGCATGGGTTATGATGATAATTCAAGAATTTAGCTGGGGTCCAAGGCCTGCCCTTTCCCCATTTATATTACAGTCCTTTGGATCCGGGCTTTTACTACACAACCATCAGTTATGTTTTATCAGATTGTTGATTTGCAGGGGAGCTGGAGCTATAGCTTATGCTCCAAATGTTCTGTGTTTATATACATGTTCTTCAGAGCTTGGAAGAGTTAATTTTTTTACTGTATCCCCAAAGCCGCATGGAGGATTTGGGGAAGTCTAGTTTTAAAAAGTAACTTCTTAAAACATTAATATACTTCAAGTTATAAATTGAATTGAATTGATAATCCCACCTTTGTCTTGAAAATGCGATTCACGGCAGCTTACAGTAAAAGAATATGAATACAATTAAATCATAAAGCCAATTAAAAATTTTAAAACTTGTAAAAATTTAAAAGCACAACAAGGAAGAAAAATACAGCAGTTATCAGGTTAAAAGCTCCTCCCATAGTAGGTAATCCTGATCCTTTAAATAAGATCTTTGCCTACTGACAGTTGCACCAGCAGCCAAGCTAGCTCCATGCAATAGGCGGTTTCAGAGCCTGGCAGTTTTGTGCTGCCATTGCATGCATCATCCAATGAGGAGGAATCAGACCCTCCCAAATCCAACATGGGTGAAGGGCTTCTGGATCTTGGATTTTCTAAGACGTAGAAGATCGTATCTCCCAAAGACAGTGGACTTTGGGAGGACCAGTAACTATAACGCCCAAAAGAAGGCAGCTCTGGAACAGTCAGAGGAGCCTGGACCCTCAAATGCAGACACAGCCAGTTGGACATGAACCCAAAGAGAGACTAGGAAATATTTGGCTCTGGGGAAAGTCTCTTCGGAAGAAAGGACTTCCTTGGGAATAGAGAGTCTGCTTGAGGGAAGACCTACAGCCCCAGACCTGCAGTTCAACTCTGCTATTAGCTGGCTGAATGCTTGCAGCTGAGCTTTGGGAGGGACTCAGGAAGCCCAGGTATATAAATCTCAGCTTCTGCTGATGCTTTCAAGGGACACAGTGTCTCTTTTGGTCCCTAATCACTGTGCACTTTGACTTTACTGCTGACTCCTTGGCCTATGCAACCTTTTGTACTTTCTCTATTTGCTTTCGTGAGTCTCAGAATGACTTGACTTGAACTTGGCTTGACTTTGGACTCTGGCTCCAGATGTCCTGCATCTAGTTTACCTTACGCTATGGAAAATGTCTGGACTCAGTGACACTGTGGTGTGATTTATTCCCAGGTGTTTAGGGCTTGCTGTGGATCATTCTAGTATTTTGTGTTGTGGATTTGAACAGAGCATTCCAGTGTTGGTATCCACACAGTGCTATTGCACTGGGCTGCACTGGGTTATCCCAGTGCTACTTCTCCACATATATCTGGAATTGCTCCTTGAGCTCTCACTCCAACAGAGATTTCCATCTTGTTTTTCCTGTCTTCTCCACTTCCTCCCTACCTACGCCATTGCCTCCTCCCTTCCCTCCTTGTTTTGCCCCTCCAACCTTCATGTTTTGTGCAGAAGTTAAAGCAGAAAAAAAGATCACCAGTTACCTTATGTACTGTCTTCCCACCTACTTCAATCTATTCTCCCCTTCCTCTTATTTTCACCTACCGTATGTATCCACCCTTCCAAAACCTTCATGGTTTTACCCCAATATTTTTTTAAATTTGAATTTCTGTTTTTTGCCTTATGGTGCAAAAGTTATAACATTCAGAAACATCAAAAAGTTGATATCTCAAGAAAACTAAAGAGGAGGAGTAAAAACTGATAATCAGAAGCACACCCAGAAGGAAACACATCGACATGGCAGTGGAGTCCATCCACGCAGATTGTACACTACAGCAAAGCAGAATAAAAACGCTCATCACTTGATGGTGGTGTAAAAATAAAGGGGGAAACAGGTATTTTTGACTCTCTTGACACTAGTTTTGGCTTTGAATCATGTGGAAACCAGGATGCAGTACAGGTGTCATGGATACCAACATAGTGAATGCTTAGTGTGGATGAGTCCTGTGGGTGAACATTCACTAAGAGAGCTCAGAATTATTCTACTGAGCAAGGAACTCAGAAAAATATAAGAATTTGATATGACATATTTACTGCAACAAAATGTTAATTCTTTAGGGTAAATTATCTGCCGGGAAATATGCAAATTCCAAATATGAAAGAGTGAGGGCACGAGGGTGTGTATGGATCGAAGGAAGCAGGAAACCTCTTTGGCTTTAAGAACCACCCTGGTTGCGACACAGTGTTCCAAAATCTAGCCTCAACCGCCATGTGACATGAAACTTTGTAAATTCCTTTGATTTTAACTGTGGATATGGTGTAATAAAAGAGAAAAAAGATCTCCTGACTCATAAAACTGAGTGAAAATACGATGTGGAAATTTATACTAAACAAATCTTTTCTTAAGCCAAATTTTCCAAGATATGAAGGGGGGGGAAAAGCCTGAAAATTATACAATAAATCTCTGGAATTATGTCAAAAATTATACAATAAGTCTCTGGACTTACTCTGGAAGTATGCTTTCTGAAATGAGAAAAATATAGTATCCATTATACTGGTGCCTCAAGTCCGGATGTGGTATGCACTGCAAGCATTCAGGTTAGAAAATACAATGGATGCTGCTGCCTAACATCATTGCTGTTATGGTTTAAGCATAGATCAGACAGGTTAAAAAAAACACCACCCTGTTCTGTCTGGAGTTCTTGGAATTCTGGAATGTCCAGCCCTTTCTTCTGCAATTCAGCTGATGAGCTATCAGCTAGAACTAGGGAGCAGATTGTTGTCAGGGTGGAAGAAGGTTTACAGCTCATAAAGTTCACTGTTTTCTATTAGCTGTAAGCAAACAGCTATCTGTATCGGAATGGTACAAACCACGGGATCTGTGGTGCAAGACATGTGTAGACATCTGTACCTATAAAAGCATCCAAAATTCATTCTTACTACAAAACTGTTGTAATGTAATTTGGCTATGCCTTAGCATCAAACTGTGCATTACAGACAGCCTATGTTTCATTCATTCACTTTACATATGTATATAGTATTATTCTTTTATTTCAACAACAAGAACTCAAGGCACATATTTAGAAGAGGGAATTGCTTAAGTGCAAAAAAAAGTCTGATTATCAAAGCAGGAGCTTTTGGCACCTCCAGATTAACTTGCTATGTTCTGTGATTGGTCACTGATTTGTAGATCTGCTTGTCCAGTCAAGAAGCTGTGCTTGAATCACACCTTTGGAATACTAACAGATTTTTAGCTTCTAATAACAAGTTTTCTGCCATGTGTAGTTTGGCCTTTAGTTATTCCAAGAAGGAATTGCTTAGTGTTATTTGTAGCCAGTTTTTTTTTCAACAAGTTTTCTGCCATGTGTAGTTTGGCCCTTAGTTATTCCAAGAAGGAATTGCTTAGTAACTTGTTATTTGTAGCCAGTTTGTTTTCAAGCTCTGGTGTGTATACATGTGAGCATGTACACAAGACCTCTGACCAGTCATCCAGCACTGCATGTGGACTGCTCTTCTGCTGGTGATCTCAAGAAGTGC